TATATGCGAGACTTTGAACATTTATATCTACCAAGCATACTTATCTATGAACTCATCATTTCGAATCTGCCCGAATCCTTTACATGCTAATTAGTCAAATTCAAAACTGATGCACAACAAACAATTTTTCAGGCCAAGTGGACGGCACCAGAAAAAGACAATAAGTGCGTGACAGTCTTTGCAGTGGTGGCGGTGAGACCAGACGTTTGGTACAGCTTCGAAGGTCCATTGTCTCAACGGATCTGTGAGGACCGACGAAAGGCTGATGATATGCAGCCGATGGAAAATTATAACTGCCAAGTTTGTGAGGATGCGAGGTATAAGGTGAGATATTGAGAGTTGCAATTTCAAGACATTGATTTATCTATTTTGGTGGTTAAAGCTTGTTGAACTTGGGGAGTTCTGGACTTCTTAATATGTGAGTAAGGGTCAGTTGTTAATTATTCTATTTTTTGTCTTTAATCGTAATTATTTGATTGTATTCGTTGTATTCGTTGCATGTATCATCTACACTGTGTCTTATGTCTTATGTTTAATTTCCTTTTCCTGTCGCAGGTCTGCAGGAAGAAATCCCTTAAGGGATATGTAGTACATAGGTACTACATAAGGATACAACACATTACAAACATGAGGTACATAGGTACCTCATGTTTGTAATGTGTTGTCCTTTGTAATATTGTCTGTGTGGTGTAGGTACATGAAATGATAAATAAATAAATAAATATTTGACGAGGAACTCGACTAGTTTCTAACCAGGCTAGTGGCTAAACATGATAATTAATTTAGTATGTCTCACGAAAGTTATAATATAAAGACAGTTGTTAGTAGCAAATAGCCGCACTGTGTCTTATTAAAAGTTTGAATGATGTCTCTTACCTTATAGGTATTGTCTTTAAAGTACATTTGTATATTTAATTCAGTGTTTTCTTTCCGACAGTTAATATTTGAAGGTATGTGGTCGTACAACACCCACCCTACGATGTACCCGCCAGCTGACCTAGTGGCCAGATTTAGCGACGTGGTCGGTGCTTCTCACAGCAACGACTTCTCTCCTTTCAAGTATAATTCCGATGCTACTGATGGCCTGAAGCTTTTGGCTGAACAAGGAAACACTACCAATTTGGAGGTCGAAATATATCAAAGGGTTAGTATTAGTAAACTGGGGAGTAGGTACAGAGCACGTTTCCCGCCTTCTTTAGAATTGCAGTTGTACGTAATGGAAATACAGACTGGTCAGATAGAGAAATCACGTAAGTAATAGGTAGTAGGTACTAGTAACATAACACATCAACACGCCTTTTATCTCCGAAGGGGTAGGCAGAGGAGCACATTATGCCTCTGTACAATGTAACACCCACTTTTCACTATTTATGTTATGAGTCCCATGTAATAGGGGGTGAGCCTATTGCCAAATACCGGGCACATTTCCAGACTCCGTGCTACTACTGAGATTTTTTTTTCAAATCCCAGTAATACTTTGCCCGACCCGGGAATCGAACCCGAGACCCCTTGTCCGGCAGTCGCACTTGCGAGCACTCGGCCAACGACGCAGTAGGTACTAGTCATAATTGGTTCCAAATTGGTAAAATTCATCGGGTGTTTTCATTTCCACAGCTAGGTACTGACGTCCGAACAGTAATAAAAGCAAGAGCACCACCAAGTACCAACATGAAGACTATATCCACCTTCAGAGCCAGTCGGAAGCACCACATGGTCTCCCTAGCAACGGCCATCGTTCCATCTCCAGATTGGTTCCTAGGAGTTGCCAATTTCGAACTGTGTGATGCCAAAACTCATGAGTGGGCCAATAATGTAATTTTCAACTTGTATCCAATGGATGCTGGGACGGATAGTGGGAAAAAATTTGATGTAAGGGATCTTATTTATTTATATTTATGTACCTAGTGTGATTGATTAAAATATGAGTAGGACTTTGGTAGTGTAGATAGTAGTCATCTTCTTCCTTCTTCTTCTTCCTAGTCGTCTTCTTCATTACTAAAGGTCGTGTCTAGTCTGGTGCACGCGTCACTTGATACACAACCCTCCTCCAAACGCCCCTGTCCTCTGCGGTCTTTGTGGCTTGTGGAACTGTCAGGCCGGTTAGGTTTTTTACAGCATCCAACCACCGGGTAGGTGAGCGACCACGAGGTCTTTTCCCGATAACCCGACCAACAACCACAAGCTTCTCCAGATTGTTGGGGTCTCTACGCGCAATGTGGCCAAAATAAGTTAGTAGTCATAAGAGACACTAAGTATTTAAAATCCAGATTCAATCAGACACTCCCAATATGACTTGAGTCCAGATTTTTAAAGCCAAAAGTTTACACTACTACGACGCTTGAAATCTAAAACTTCTATTAGCAATTGCACTTGCTCTATAATTTCTGTTTCTAGTCCTCAAATGAAGCGACAGCACCACCTCAGCCAATTTCGACTGCGAAAATTGATGCGAATATTCCAAAAGAACAATTGAAGCCGTTTGCAAGATTAGTGTTTCAATTGATACGAACTTATTACAACCCTAACTGCACGGAAGATACGACTTTCACTGACGAATCAGGTAATTTAAAAAGTTTGCTTTAGCAGTCCAACTTGATCGTGTGTGGGTAATTTAAGTGCCTACCGATTTATCGTCAAATAAGCTGTCGATCGACTCGATGCGAAACCAACCAACAGTAAGTACCAATGTGACTTTTTCCGAGTTATATGCACTTTCTAAGTAGACAGTACTGACAAAGACGGTGAAGTAAAACATCATGAGGACACCTGGGCTTATGATTTCTAATTATAAGTTTGAGATCGCCAACCCGCGTTGAGCAAGCGTTGTGATTAATGCTCAAACCTTCTCCGTGTGAGAAGAGGCTTTATTCAGCAGTGGGTATTTATAGGCTGTTGATGATGATGAGGCTGTCGATCGAGACGTCCGTATTTCTAGAAGTATCATTACTTATAGTTGATCGAAGAGTATCACACAATTCACACTATCACTTGACACTGTGAAGGCCGGCCATGCACTTTCTTTATGGGATAAGCCGACTAACGACCAGACGGATCACCTGATGGTAAACAATCGGCGTCGCCCATGGACACTTGGATTGGAACGCCAGAGGCGTTACAAGTGCGTTACTGGCCTTTTTGGGATTAGGAGTTTGAGGATTCATGGATTGGAGAGATCAGGTAAGGGAGGGGAGGGGGTAATTGGGCCAACCATAACCTCACTCTCATGACGAAACACAATGCAAGCGTTGCTTCACATCAGTTTTCTGTGAGGCCGTGGTATTACTCCGGTCGAGCCGGCCCATTCGTGCCGAAGCATGGCTCTCAAACACTTATACTTGCGACTTCTCTAGTAGTTTGCGGGTGTCCATGGGCGGCGCTGATCGCTTACCATCACGGGATCCGTCTACTCGTATGCCTCCTACTCCAAAAAAAGGTTTTTACACTTGTTCATTTTCAGGTGTGGGTGACAACGGTGAACATACGGACGACGAGGGATCTGAAGAAGGTGAAGTCACTAAGAAAGTGGATTACCAACCATCTCAACCAACTTCCACCACCAGGTAATACCTACCTGCATTCCGAATTTTATTTCGTGCGCTCTCCACTTTTTTCTAATAATAATATAACTAGAGCGCCCAATCAAACTTCTAACGATTCATTATTATATCTTCAGCCACAGGACTTCAGCTTTAACCATTAAGAACTTTATTTTAATTCTGCTTTCAGCGAGGAGCCACCATCAGTAGACCCAGAGTCATCGCCTGAATGTCCAATGACTCCTTGGGAAGAGTGGCAAGAGTGCGCTGGCGAATGCATCGACAATAAGGTGAACGGATACCAAATCCGATTCAGAAATCACGTTGGGGTAAGTAAAGCTATAGAGATTTATTTAGAGCATAATTATCAAATCAAAAATATTTCGAAAGGCTAACAGATCTAAGCCAACTAAATAAAATGTTAAAAAAATTATGCGCTTGAAATGAGAGTTTGGGCACCAATGAAGGAGGTAGTATTGCTTCTGGTCAATCAATCAAGCAATGCGGTCGGTCGTCAACTTTTATAAGCCAATAGAAAGATTTTATTTCTTCACTAGCAGTATCTGGTAAAAGCGCAAAATCGAATATATTATTCCTCATTTACGTGGACACGCGGAGCAGCCTCCTTTATTTCTTTTTTGGATTTTGCGTTAATTTTTTAATGATAATTTTAAGAACCATTACGTTTTCTGCAGGATCCATCCCCCGAATGCTTGAAGATGCCTCTTACAGATATGCAAAATTGTGAAGAAGAATGCGTGGAAGAGCCAGCAGAAGGTGAAGAAGAGGAGGAGGATGAGGAGGAAGAAGAAGAATAATAATAATAGTTTTTTAAAATAAATTAATAGCTCGCGAGAATATCTTAGTTTTATTTTTTCTTCTACACAGTTACAGCCTTTGAAACTCCCACAGAGATTCTTCAATTAAATTCTCCCATAATATTAAGGAACATAAGCGGAAATAATTGAAATACTTTTTTGACTTTTATTTCATTTTATAAACTAAACAATTGGAAGTTCCTGCAGACCCAAAATTCCTCTTTATGAAGCCCTGCCCACGCACCAGGAGCTTGAATTTCTTCCGTTACTGGTGGGTAACTGCTTTTTATTTTCAGCGTTCTTGTTTTTAAATGTTTTTTTATTTAAGATTTATTTAAAATGTAATTAAATTACATAAATCTTTGTCGAAACAATATCTAAAATATATTTTTAAATTAATTAATGTAAAATTTGAATAACAACAATCTTAAAAAATCTATATAGTGGTTTAATTAAAACTTCAATTTCTGAGTGTTTCCGAACGCATTTTTCCTTACGTCATCGAGTGAGAGACGTTCGTGATTCAATGGAGTGAGTTTGAGTGATTTTTCAATCAGAAGAATTTTTATAATCAGGGAAAATAATTCGAGTTACATCTTTTTTATTATGCTTGCAAAGTCTCCAAAACCTGCCTATAAACGGTACATAACTTGGGGATTAAAAACTGCATTGTTAATTGAAGGAGTTGGACTCGGCCTATCGTACGCTCTGTGGTACAAGTTGAACACCGAAAGAGGTGAGTGTATTATTCGTTTATTTTTGTACATAATAATGTATTTATGGATACGTAAACAACTGAAACAAAGGCATTTGTTTTTCACAACAGCATTTATGTGTCATGATACGACAAAAATATATTTTGACGTCTAAAAACTGAATAATGTCAACATGTGCAGTCCTATGAGAAATTTACCGTCTGGCTAATTAGATGTCTCACTTCTTCTCTTCCATGAATCTACGATTTACAAAAGCATGGAAATATTACTGTTTATAAATAAACTTTTTCTGTCATCACTTGGCCATAGTTTCACCTTATGACTCCAAGACTAACTGACCCAGCCCCGTATAATTCCAGATTTCCGTCTGTACATGTATCGAAACCACAACTGGATATTAGAAGGTTATTACGGACTTGGTGAGGCAATCACTGAAAACAAAATCCGTGATCTTGATCAGGCAATTTGGAAAAACGAAGGCAAAATTTAAATAAGCGGTGAGATGTCTGTTGCTATTAGAGCCACATTTTGGGTGGTGACCTTTGGATCCCTCGGTTATGCACTATTCAAGTTGGTCAAACCTGATGATGAACTTCTTAAGCAGGTCATTATTGAATTCTGTATTAGTTTATGTTGATTGTGGTCACTGATTACTAGAATAATCTTAGTTGGTTTTGTGGGACTAATATCTGCATGTGTTTTCAAATTGTGAGTGTACCTTTGGGGCTTCTGTGGTCTGTGATCCCATAAACTGAAATCTACATTCATAGAAATCAAGTAAAAAGCATTGATATAGTTTTTCTATCAGTTATTTTGTGGCTAACCAATTCAACATGAGAACAAGAGTGTCCATTCCATTGATCATTCATGTTGAAATTAAATATTCAGTCCACCTCAACATATTCATTAAGGTTGATCCATTCACCATCTATTTCACTTGATTAAATTGAAATGTGTAACTGAGATTACTACAAACAAGAAATGGATTTTGTTTCTCAGTATTTGTGGCAAGTGTTGGCCTCTTACCTCCTGCTTTGCATTTAATCAATTCTATTCCGTTAACAAGATATTGTTGCTTATGTAAAATTCTTCTTTGTTGTAGTTTGACGAAGGATCTAAACTCACCGATGCTAGAAGAGTGAGTCAACAAACTATTAATGTTTTAAAAGAAGCTGCCAAGCCAGATTCAGAACTAAATAAAGTAATAGAAGATTTATTAAAAAAAGGAAAATGAGTGACAGAAATTCGGTATTAGAACGATTAAGTAGGCGAGATGCACAACGTTTAGAAAAACTGCAAAAGGCCCACAAAGCAAGGGAAGAAGTAGATGCTTCTAATGAAAACGAAGATTATTTTTCCAGCTCATTTAAAATTAAATCTGAATACATTGAAGACTTACTCATGCAAGTTCCAACTTTAGAATTACATGTATTGCCTTCCCACTTTGATAGCATAAAAAGAGAAGTAAACGAATTACAAAAATATGTAGTGACATCATCATTCTTCTTGAAGGAATTCAACATGCGTAAATATTTGGGTATTGTACAGAATCTACAAACAAAATGTTATGAATTAGAAGAAAGGTATGTTCCCAGAAAAAAGTTTGGATTCTCTAAGAAAAAGATTCCCAAGTCACATACTGAGAAACAAGGGTCACTCGACGAGAACGATGCAGCAAGAAAGACAGACAATAAATGGGATGAAAAACTTTTTGGTTTTGATTCACAAAAAGACAAAGTGCTTTTACTTGAAAACGATGATTTGTTTCAAAGGGATGTTGCTTTACGGAATCTTACAAACTGCACTGTAAGTCTCAAGGGAGTGATGGGAACTTTGCATTTAACTAATCTAGAAAACTGTATAGTACTTTCCGGTCCAGTCACTTCATCTGTGTTTATGGAGAAATGCATCAACTGTAAAATCGTTACTGCCTGCCAGCAATTACGAATGCACTCATCTAGTAATTGTGACATTTATTTACATGTGACTAGCAAGGGAATAGTTGAAGATTGCACAGGCATATGTACTGCTCCATACAATTTGTATTACGAAGACTTAGAAAAGCATTTCAATATGTCCGGTTTGGACCGGAATTCCAACAACTGGGACCGTTTGGATGATTTCAACTGGCTGGCTCCGGACATCCCATCACCTAATTGGTCAATTTTGAATGCAGAGTTACGCATCAACAGTTGGGACGAGTGGTGGTCAAGGATTCCTTCCTAATAGTTTAAAGTAGTCTATATAAATTTGCAGTGTTATATGAAGCTATACATAACCCATAATTGTAACATCTAATTTAGTTACAGCGACTAATTTATATGAAAAAGCTGATTTACAAAATATAATTTCTACTTCATTAATATTTGTTGACCAATTTGTTGAAATGTTGATTAATATGGAATTTTATAAACAAGTTCTGGTTCAATGATGCAATTGAAGTGGAAAAATATCCTATAAAGTAAAGCAGCTTCACAGAAGCTAGTAGCTTTGATGATTTTAGTTTAGAAGACAAATAGCTAGGAAACAAATGTAACATATATAATTTCTACATTACAGAAGTGTCCTTGCCATAGCAATCTGGTAAATTTTGAGTACATTTTTCAGCAAAGTGATCAAAGGATGATATTTTCTGTAATACACGTTCAGAATAACACGAGTGGCGAAAGACTGTAATGGCTGCAGATGAAACATATTAAATATTTGTAACTATTGCAGTTGGTAGAGTACAACTCCCACAGCATTTAAAAGTTCCATAATTACCGGTGGGTTTGTGCATCGTATCTTCCCTTTGACATAACTCATAGAGAGATAAAAACATGTAATTTTTCTAATATTTAAAGTTAATTAATGTTCATAGGTTATATTACGTCAACCACAAATTATGTTCGGCAAATATCTGCTTATTTAATTCACTTATATAATAATTTATGAAATAAATAACTTTATTATTAGAATAAATGATTTTTATTTCAACTAGTTGTACTTCATAACAGTCTTCTTAATAATAATTTGACCTGGAACAAAATTTTTATGAGATTTACTTAAATTCTACCTTAGATAAACTACTAGACTTTCTCGGTATAGCCAACTATTTTTGAATTTTTTGCAAGCATTGGAGACATTCGAAGGTTGCGCTCTCCCCGAGACCACCAGTTGAATATTATCTGAAGCAGGTCTTGCTTGCTCGGCCACTTTTACTTGCAATCACTCTCCCTAAGAGTATACGAAGTATAGGGGTTGACTATGTCTCATTATAAAAAAATACTATATTTTCTGTATGGGAACCCCGGGGGCAACCTGTGGAAACTTCACCTTGTCTAAATATCATGTTTTTGATAAGGTATGGTCGATGACAGACTCAGACGGTGCAGTATCCTCAAAGAACACTCGATATCAGTAGGTAACTAAAATCCAAAAACCTCGCTACAAGACTCCAGAGAAGGAATAAAAGGAAAAATAAAAGTCTAAGTAACAATAAATAATAATTTATTAACACTACAATCGAAAATATATAAAAACTGTCAAGTAGTTATAATCACAGTAATTTTGCTAACTGATACAATTTTTACAAGATATTTTATTGCAGTGGCAACATTGTTTCACTTTAAAAATTAACTGGCAATACAGCACAGACATGCTTTTTGACTTATTTCTAAAATTACTATTCATGTAGTAAGAACAAACAATGATTTAGTTACTGCCGAAGTGCCGACGTTACGTTTTATTATAAAAACCTGACTTCCTGGAAAATGATCTAGAATATCTATGTACAAGATAAATTTATTAATATTTTATATAAAAATACGTACTTATATAAAATAGTAGAGTGATTGAATTGAATGTAAAATGCATTGTAACCATCTCGCCATCATAAAACTGTCACAAACCAATTGGAAATGCGATGTTAAATATAAATCAACATTCATTAGTAGAACAAATAATTCCGACCCTTTTATTAGAATATTTATCGTTTTCTGCTCTGTAATTTCGAGACTATAATAATACCGGACTTATGGCTACCATTTTTTTTTAATTTTCCTAATAATTTCCACAATATTTCAAATAGTTTAACTCATCTTAAAATAAAAATAAAGAAACATAATGACACTTATAAATTCTTACTATAAACTTGGAAATATTCAATATAAATAAATATATTTTTTTAAAAGTGCTTTAACCTTAACAGAGGGAAAAATATAGAAAATGAACTTAGTCTTCTTTCTCCGGGCTTTGTCCACCTAAGTTGGGGTCGGTGACCCTTTAGACTTTAGACCCAGTCAATATTATCCCATATTAAATATCAATGACAACCTGAAATATAGAGTTTAAATGATTTGCATGTATTCAGATTTAATTCGGTCAGTAAATAAATGCAGCGGTTGGTAATTGAATATTCTATGTTCCAACTAAGTACATTGGTACATCTTAACACTAAAAACATAGTTATTTGAAAAAAAACGTTATATTATACATACATGGAAGAATAAGAATACAAATATTATACAAAAACTACAATTTTGCCTACGATAATGCAGATGTAGCTTAAAATAGACCTTAGATTTTAAAAATTTACTCCACCCAACCTTTGAGGGTGCTGCCATAATTTCCTGAACGTATCCTTATACATATCAGTCCTTACTAATATTTATGTAAAATTTTATTATTAGAGAATAAGCCGAATATGTTTTAAATAAAAATATTGCTTAAGAAGTTGTTATTTTAATAATATTTTTATAAGATGCCTCTTTTGACTTTGCAAACACTCTGTAGCTTAAATCCAGTTATTTAGCAATAAGACAGCCCTTTATATATAAGTCGAAGTAATAAACCAGATTGAAAACACACTCAATGATCAGACATAAAGAAGTTTCTCCTGAGGCAACTTTACGGAATTCAGTTTAGGAAGACATCAATATAATCAGTTAAACATATATTACAAGAAATAAATAAACAAATATTCAGAATTAATTTGTCATTTGTCATGCAAAAGAGATTCTGAAGGAAGAAATATTATTGCACTATGCTATCTTTAAAAAATTACATCTGTGAACTGTTTGCTATGTGTTAAAAAGTAAAAATATATATTTATTGACAAAATTTGAGCATAACACTGAGAGTGTATCATAAGATTTTTTGTTAATTACAGGTATGTTTCACAATTTAAGTACATAAGAACATTTTACGTGGTTTACAATTAATTAATTTCATAATAAAGATAATAAGATATTCATTAGAGACAATAGAGATAAAAATACATATAGATAATTACGGAAGCGGAAAAATAGGGAATATTCAACAGAGAATCAGTCTTTTTAAAATATTTGTAGCATATATTAAAAAAACACTTCGGAACAATTAAAATAATATGTGTGTGTCATGGTTGGCGCTGTTATCGTATTTAGCCTTGTTCATTAAGAAAATTCTTAGTTAAAAGCTTAATTAGAATCTTTTGGACTTTAAACAGTTGTTTTTTAATTTTAATTTACAAATGTAATGTAAAATTATATCAATTATTTGTATCTTGTAATCTGGGGAGTGTTAAATATTTCCTATTTGACCGCGAAATTTATAAAATGGGTGCCGGTTATATTATGTATATCTATTTTAAAGTTGAACCACATTCGGCAACCTCATCTTACACGTAATGGCGGAGTTACAGTCACGCACGTTCCTGTCGCGTCTGAATCGATTGGGTAAGTTGTGTAAATTGAATGTATTGGCATTGTGTAACAGTTGTAAGATTAAAAGGGTAATTTAGGTCAGGGACATTTTTATATTAGATGATCCTTAAAATATTTTTCTAAACAATTTTCGGAGCATCAACCTAAAAAAATCTACTTTTAACCAGGTGTGATATTTACTCTGAAAATTTAAAAATGTGTCATAAGTATATAAGGCAACTGTGAAATTATAAAGTTATAAGAATTGAAAAGAAAAAAAAAACGTTATAACTTTGTTAAAACGAAAAAAATATATATAAAATCAAAGAATAACAATCGCTGTATAAGGCAACACTGAATTAAGTATGTGACAAAATTATTGCAAGACTGTTTATTCTCCAGTACGAGAACTAAAGCTTAATTTAAATTATTCCCGTTCAATATAAAGCAATCCAAACTGAAAAAAGAAATTATACTAAACCTTGCAAATTAATTTTAATACGACTGAAATGGCCATGTCCTTTTTATATAAAAACATGATTCTTGTCACCATAGTATTATGCATTTTAATTATTAAGTAAAACAAAATCCACAACACATCAACGATTATCACAATTCCGGTTCGATATTAAAAGGAATGTCACCCAAAAGCGATAGTGGCGCCACTGAGAATTATGCAAAAATCGAATCGATTCAAACGCGGCACAACGCTCTATACTAAAAAATTAAACCGAAATCTTATTTTTAGGTCTAATACTTAGGCTACTCTCACCAGTTTGGTTTTTTATGTGAGATGGTCCATTTCTGATAGGTGTTGTTAGGGTCACACGGTACTAGGCCAAGTTGCCGTGAGCTCGGTTGTAATGTGAGGCAGTGGCCATGTAGACGGTGGATGAGGTGGTTCTTTTCTTCATCGTAGCTGTAAATATTAAGGTATTTGTGAGATTGCATGCCTCCTGGTAAACTATGGCTGAGATTGCAATAAACAAACTATCTTGCAAATAAGCTATCTTTATTATTGTTTACGTTGTGGTCTTAAAATTGAATGGGGAAAGTCATTTAATTACAGAATAAATATCTCATTTGTATAAATATAATACCCAAATACATTAAAAGTACCAATTGGTACGATGTTATTACTGGAAATTTAGAAATAATAAATGGGGTGCAGTAGGGGTGATGCCCGAACAGGGCTGTGCATGACTGCAAGGGTTAATGGGGCTACAGCTTGAAGCAGGAGTAGGAACGGGTTTTTAGTCAGTAAGAGTCTGACACTTCCTCTCGCTTCACCCAGGAGTTATTTGACGACTTTTCCCCTCTAAAAACGCAACCAAATGTCACTCACCTCCAAGGTCCATCAACAGTGCCAAGCCTGCAAAAGGCTTGCTTCACGTTGTCCACATCAGCTTCTACGCAGCGTTCTCCCACTCCTAGCTGACCAGCTTCGTTTAGACGGAACAGTTGACTGTTGCCTGAGCCATGACACGAGGCTGTGCCTGGAAATTATATAAAATAAGTTGATTAATGTTTGTATTGGTTACTTGGATATATTTAAGAAGAAAAAGAAGATAGATTTTTAGAAAGCAGAAATTATGGTGACTATGTTTGCTATCAATATAAGTAGTAATATTTTATGTGAGAAACTGAGAACCCGTTAATTTTATATAATTTTTTATCCATAAAACAATGGAAATGCAACTTTATTTTATGCTTGCAAAAACACAATTTTAAAAGGAAAATAAATAACAAAATAGTGAAATAAACAAATACTACAATATTTACATTAATACGCCAGACAGAATACAATTAATGCACCTGTGTACATACATATTTTCATTAAATAAGTCTCACTATGGTGTTTGAATACAATATCTTTTCAATAATATTACAAAAGAGATTTTTCAAAAGGAAAAGAACAATTAGCTTACCTATGTATGCTGGAGCTCCCTTGCCCATAGTGTCGAGACAGACTCCAGTGGCTTTGTTCTTCACCATACCCCAGTGAATGTTCTTCGGCAGCTTAGGGAACTTGTCATACACATCGTAAGCCACATTCTCCATGTACCACCCAAAGCTCTTACACTTCAACCGATCCTTCAAAGCAAGCTGTTCAGTAATATCACCCATATCCAAGAAACGCGCCATTGGCTCCCTAGTATAGAAATATTCTTTATGTTCCTCGTCAAACCAAGTCTCTATAACTCTCTTATAGTTAATTGTGATGAGGGATCCCTTCCTATTCTTGGCAAGGTTTCCGAATGAGTAAGGCATAAACGCTCTGTACACATGCCCGACTCTTGAACAAGGCACCCATTCTATACTACCGCCGCACTGCCAAATCTTAAAACTCAGTTCAAAGTTCTCTCCACCCCAAACTAAAAGACCGGGGTCATAAGCTCCAATTTCGAGGAAATATCTTCTGTTGATAGCGAAAAGACCACCAGCGTGTGTTGGACTCTTGTAAGGCTCTGATTTGTGTTTGTGAAGGTTTGCTTCTCTATCTGGTACCTCATTTTCTTTGTAGAGCATGCCCCATTCGAAGATACCTCTGTAGTTCATGCCGTGTTGGTAAACTGGTCTATACTCGAAGGTTCTGTGGTCCACGCCATCGATGACTGGAACTGTCATGATTCTATAGTCTCTGTAAATAGGAGCCAAGAGCGGTGGTAGCCAGTTGAGGTTTACTTCGCAATGAGCGTCTAAGAATACGATAACTTCACCAGTCGCCTCTTGAGCACCCCTCGAACGTGTTCTAATCAGACCCTCACGTTGAGTGTTTCTTATTAGACGTACTTTACCCTTCCATCTTTTAATGTAGTTGTCCAGATTTGATTTTAAGTTTTCTTTGTCTGAGAAATCGTCGACCTGGAAACAAATAAATGTATGATGAGATTCTGTCTATAAGAGATAGGTAACCAGGACTTATTAGAGGACCCGTTGCCCCTACAGGTGCTGATATGGTGACCATCGGAGCGGTTTTAGTGAGGTAACAATCTTATACTGCCCAGTTTTTTTTGCAAACAGCAAGGCGCCTTCTGAAGGTCAGGCCAGTAAAAAAAGGTAAAAACTTGGGTAGTTAGTAACTTATTCGAATCTTCTTATCCATCAGGTATGTATATCTAATGATGTAATAATTTTATTACATCATTATGTGAGTACAATTTCTTGTTACTACAATAGGGAAGTGAAAAAGATATTACAAATATCTTAACATGATATAAAAACATGTAATTATTTTTTTTTATCGATGCTTGTAATTAAAAATCGAGCTAATATTGATTATCGTCGTCTTAATTAGTGGGCGATGTAATCGATACTTATTTACTAACACCGTGATTGTGAGTATAATGCTAAACCGAATCGCAATGTTACGATACATGAACTTGGGAATTAACTGTGTTTTGTGCTGGTAATTACGTATAATCGTAGCTATGCGCGTAAGTAGTGTTTACGTTTTAGAACCTCCATTTAAGGGTACAAACTGGACGTAGTGCAGTGGAATCATAATAAACTTTAATGTTTTAAGTATTTTAAACTGTGACCGCAACCTATTGTTCTATAATTGTGTCTATAATGACGGTACTTGACGAGTTAAACTGTCAAACACCAAGCGGTCACCGGTGACCGCAACCTATTGTTCTATAATTGTGTCTATAATGACGGTACTCGACGAGTTAATTGATTTATACTTTATTTGTGTAACACACTGTGTCACGTTGCCATAATTTCTTTTCCTGCCACAGGCCCACAGGAAGAAATTCCAGTTGGAATATGTGGGGCCTATGCAACTTGTTTTTATTTATGTGTTGTCCTGTGTTGGATGTGTGTACATAAACAATAAATAAATAAAATTGGCAAAACTTAAGAAAGCATAACAAGATCTTACGAGAACAAAGTCAAAGTCAAAGCATTTATTTCAATTAAACCATAATTTGGTACTTTTGAAACGTCAACAAATACAAAATAAATAATAGTCTGTCTGTCAGTCCGTCAGAGCAGCTAGGTGAAGCTAAGTGCTCATTCCAAAATGTAGATTCGAATGGAGAAGAACGAGCAAGAAACTCCATTCGTCAACCTCAGCGGAGTTGTGGTGATGTCAAAATGTGTTCTACCCTGCCATCACACAGTTGAAGTTTTAAATTTTTTAATTATTGCATTTTTAGTTATTCATAAACATGAGTTTACGAACTGCGATACGGAGTTGTTTGATCGATACATCATAGAAGTGTTTTATTCACTATTTATTTTCCCAGTATACGTTAGCTACTGTGAATTTATTACAATATTTCGAAGATGGCGCGTTATCGGGGCTTACGCTTCAATGGCAGTTGTGTTAACTCATGAAATTGTGTAACTGTTGCAATACTGGTGCACGTTTTGTAAGATGATATAACAAGTTTCATTTTAATCCACTTTAAGGATTAAATGTACTTATACTTTCACTTCACTTAAGCACTGGACAAAGCGGTTCATTGAACTGTGTTAACAATCTGACCGACTTCAAAACACACATAACATCACGCCCATTATCCCCGAAGGGGTAGGCAGAGGTGCATATTATGTTACTGTACAATGTAACACCCACTTTTCACTATTTATGTTATGAGTCCCATGCATGTAATAGGGGGTGAACCTATTGCCATATACCGGGCACATTTCCAGACGCCGTGCTACTACTGAGATTTTTTTAAACCCAGTAATATTTTGCCCGACCCGGGAATTGAACCCGAGAGCCCTTGCCCGGCAGTCGCACTTGCGACCACTCGGCAAACGAGGCAGTCTTGTTCTTCAAGCTTCAAAACAATGTTTTTATTAACCGATTTTAAAAAGAAACAAAAGGAGATTCTCAGCATGACCTGTATGTATGTATGTTTGTGCGCGGCTACCTCGTGAATGGCTGAACCGATTTTGATGCGGTTTTCAGAAAAGTGTTTGTTACACTTAAGGAGAAGGTTCTAGTATATTAATAAACCGACTTCAAAAAAGGAGGGGATTGAAGTCGGTATTTTTAAACTTAGTTTATAAAATAATTATATTATTTGATATTTTCTGGAAGATGTTAGGGAAGGCCTTTTACGGTTGTAAAATACTTGTACGGTTGACGTACAACGATTTGGTTGCTGACGATGCGACCTTAATTAGTACATAATAATATTCACTGAACAACGAACTGTAGTTGACAAATTGCAATTGGCCCGGATTGGCAATCCACTTATACCTACTTTGTAACTTTTAGAAATAAACTATTTCTAGTGCTCAACCGTGGTTTTATCGTCAACTCACCGAACTCTAATTATCTCTGAGCCATACAATATCTTCATTTTAAAGGTAACTGATTACTGAATAGCCTTTTATACGACATACATAACCAATAATAAAATACTTCAATCAGAAAATATTTATCGGGAAAAAAAAATGCTAGTGGCTACGTTTCTTTGCTACCAAGTGTAGATTTTACTTTGTAACCCTTTAAAAAATATACTTTGTAAAAAAATAAAATAAGCCTTTATTACTGGGGCTACAGCTTTATAATTCATTCACTATTTGTTTGTTAAGTGTGGCCAAATGGGCCGGCTCGTCCGGAGTGATACCACGACCTCACAGAAAACCGCCGTGAAATAACGCTTGCGTTGTGTTTCGTCGTGTGAGTGAGGTTACCGGAGGCCCAGTCACCCAGAACCTAACGGGTAACCGGGGCTCCGGCTCGACGTGCAGGAGAAGGAACGGGGTGGTTTTTAGTCAGTAAGAGTCTGACACTCCCTTACGCCTCACCCAGGCGGGAGCAGTCATTCGATGATTTTCCCCCCTTAAAAAAAACCCCCCCCTTCCTAATCCCCGAATCCTCAACAATCCCTAAAAAGCCGGTAACGCTGTTACAAGTGCGTGTTGCGGGTGCCCATGGGCGGCGGCGATTGCTTACCATCAGGTGATCCGTCTGCTTGTGTACCGGTTTATTGCATAAAAAAGCTATTATTATGCATCAGTACTTGTATCCCCAGTTAGTCCTTTGACATAAATATCTCCTAAACTTCCACTTTTCCTTATCCCTCGCAATTCTTATCCAGCAGTTCTCCTTAGGACAACCATTAATCGTAGCTAACTGTTTTTTGTAAGCTAGGTATTACATTGTCGTAGGTACATTTACATTAACTGTATTGCGTGCTAAACGGTACAGATGTGTGAACACGGCTAAACAAATGTTTTCTAGCGACATGTAGGTTAGGGTGTCCCTTATATGGCCGAAAACATTTTTTTTTCGAAAATCGGAATGCATACCCTCTAACTTTTTTACGTCTACCTAGACTAATCTTAATACAAAATTTTATCTTCCTACTACGACATTAACCCGTGCCGACAGCGTGTCAAAGTTTTGAAATTTCAGTTTTTAAACTAAAATGGTATTGTGTAGCTAAATCAATTAAAATATATATTTTTTAAATTTATAATCAAAAGCAAAGTTATTTTAGACGTTTATTTATTTTAAGAAGACAAAGTTACAAACATAAGGTCATAAAATTATAAATAATTAATCCGGATATTTTCTCTTGAGAGTCTCTTTATTACAATTTGGATACATATTTCTGTGCTCTTGCACGCAGCGTAGCAAATATTGCTTTTGTTCTTCTTTTGCCGTAATTAAACCATGAAAATCATGCATTAGTTTAACAGCTCTTTCAGCAGTATCATTAACTGCTTTTAAAGCTAGAACTTTACTTTTTGCCTCTAAATAGGAAACATCTTCTTCCCACGTAGAAATTGGTTTCTGAAGGAACTTGTTATCGATTTTTAGTCGTGAAAATAAATTAGTGCTCTTGATTGATACAAAATCGCTCAATGATTTTTCATACAAATAATGAGACATATCTTCTTTTGACGGAATGTATCTCCTCCTAGAATCAGATAAACTCTCTCTTTGCAAGTTTGTTATGATATTTGCCTTGGTTGGTTCATCAACTTCATCGTCAAAGAGTGATAGAATGACAATTTCTTCCGACAAATACCAAAGATGTTGGTTAAACTTGCTTAGAGCTGCTTTAGAAATCAATTTGTCGACAGTTTCATATTCCTTAAGCCTCTTTAAAAAGCACAAATCTTGATTTGGTGCCTTCACCGCCAAACTACATTGAAGCCATGGTTTTACGTATAAAATTGCAATGAATAAACAAATATCTAGAAGTGCTCGTTTATAATTAGCTGTTAATTTCAATTGCGATTGTAATAAACATATTTTTAGCGTATAAATAGCTCTTGCCATCCACCTTGCTTGGTGCATCGCTCCAGGAGGTCTGATTTTAATTTTCTTCGCTATATCTCCTCCTAAAAAGACAATAGATAGTTCAATCAGCTCCCGATAATCAGCACGCACAATAGATTTTTGTAGTTCTTGATTATAAAATGCCAGCAATTCCTGTACTATTGTATTACTGAAATGTTGTTTTATGAAGTCGGTGTTAATTTCAATAGCAGTAGGATCAATGTTTTTCCAGTTGTCTCTAAACTTTTTGAACATCGGGATATCGGGACTACTCGTTACTTGAGGGATTTTTGTTTCAAACACAGATTTCAAAACCAGTTCGTAAACGTGATGGCGGCAAGCAAAGAGTAGTAATTCTCTGTCTAGTTTTTGTTCCAGAAGAACACACGCTCCATTGAATTGGCCGGTATTAGAAGCAGTTGTGTCACAGCACATAATTTGGACTTTGTCATCGAGGTTCCAGTCGTAAAGCGCGATTGACACTGCTTGAGCTTGCTCTCGGCCGGAAGAGCTCTCTAATTTAGGCACAGCCAGAAGTTGTTCTTTTTCTCCAAATGAAATAAGAATTGGCAGGCGTTCTTCTTTTGAACTTCTCACGTCTGGCCCAGGTAATAGCTTTCCATCCCAGTGAACTGTCACCATTTCAGGAATATTATTCTGAAAATCTTATTTTATAGATTCCTCTCTATCTTTTCTACTTTGTGTGCGAATACGCTGAATAGATGATTTGTTTATGGAAAAATCATCACAGTTTAAACCTAGCGATTCTATCACAGCCTGAAGTATATAGACAGAATCCCTTATACTTAATTGACATCTGTCTAAAGCCGCAACTAACTTGGGCGTGATAAAGTCCTTTCTTCCTCTTCTTGGAGTAGTTCCCGAGCTTAACGTTGATGTTGATAGCAACCGTTCCTCGAGGCTTTCATCAGAGCTGGAAGGCTGATCGCAATTTTCTTGTGTATGAACAAAACTTTGTGTAGTATGAGATGACGATAAACTATTTAAACGAATTTGTTCTTGTCTTCTTTTTTCTTCTATTGACTTTCTTTGTCTTGACCTTTCTTCTTTTTCAGCCAACTTTTTATCGACACCCGCTAAGCATCCAGGGCGCCCTGGTTCTCTTTGCTTTTGTAAAAATATTTTATCTTCCTCTATCTTCATCAGCTGCAAAGCATCAGCGTGTGCCGAACAAATTATCTAAACAGTTCTGAAAGTCCGCTTCACGGCGCCTATGAATATCATTCAACTTTTTCGAATTTTTTTGCAACTCTCTCCAAGTGTGGTGAAGATCCACAAGTTTTTTTACACAGTTAGGTAAAGCTCTAGTTGGGATTCTAGCCTTTTCCCAGAATATAATACACTCGCGAATGACGAGATTTGCGCTTTCACTAACAGTTAATTTAACTTCGCGAATATTATAAAAAAGTACTGCGAGAACTTGACGGTTTGACGGTAACTTGGCGCCAGTAATTTGATAATTTACATCACCAACTAAGAAAATACTTTTGGTATCACTTCTTAATGTTACTGCCATCTTCTAAGGTTAAACAATCGGTGTTAATTACGATAATAACTGCCCAAGAATTACTTATCACCGCGAGTGCGCACCGCTACTCCAGCGCAACTTGTATGAACAAGTTTCGATGCAAGTCGGCACGGGTTCTCGTACTCCAAATATGATAAAAATTTATTTTCGTGTGTTTTAAGTACAAATGAACAAAATTAAGACGTATGCGTTAAAAAAAATTAACTTCGAAAAATAAGGGACACCCTAATGTAGGTACTTACTTTTTGTAGCAAACTGTGAATCACATATAGGCAATTTTTTTTATTGTAGGCACGCGCATATAAGTATTTAATAATATAGCACGAGTAGATAGGTACTAGATAAATATTGTTTTATATTTAAACAGGTGACATTGAAACTAGGGCGAACTATAAAATTATTACACTTGGGAGCCACTAGCGTTCAATCATCTTCATTTCTTCATATTTTCTGATACAAGTCGCAAGTGCGACTGCCGGGCAAGGGGTCTCGGGTTCGATTTCCGGGTTGGACAAAGTATTATTGCGTTTGTAAAAAACCTCAGTAGTAGCACGGACTCTGGAAATGTGCCCGGTATATGGCAATAGGTTAACCCCTATTACATGGGACTCAAAACATAAATAGTGAAAAGCGGTTACATTGTAGTGGCATAATGTGCACCTCTGCCTACCTCTTAGGGGATAAAAGGTGTGATGTTATGTTATGTTAAATATTTTATTAATTGGTAACGTATTTTTTTTTAATGGGGAAAATCATCGAATGGCTGCTCCCGCCTGGGTGAGGCGGGAGGGAGTATCAGACTCTTACTGACTAAAAACCACCCCGTTCCTTCTCCTGCACTTCGAGCCGGAGCTCCGGTTACCCGTTAGGTTCTCCGCGAAATTGGTAACGTATTCGATGGATGAATGAACAAGATTATGAAGTCGATAAAAATTTGTTTTTATTTGAACAATGCGATACGGCCTGAAATGTGATATGGATCTTTTAACTAATCTGATTGATTGAGCGATACACAAAATAAATACGGGGTATAATACAAATGGGTTTCGTCTCGTTTACATAGACAAATTCAATATAAGATTACGCACAGAAAACCAGTGCGAAACTACTTTTGCGTTGCGTTTTGCCATGCGTATGAAGATGCCTACCCAACTAAAAGGCGGCGCGGCACTTGTAATGGGGCCTACCGTATTTTCGCTCCCTAGGTGGCGCTAGTGTGACCCTCTCGTTCTTCGTCCAATAGGGAATTAGCTAGTATAACACCATTGGATGTTCAATATTTGACAGCTGATGTGATGGGACAAAATAACACCTTCCTACATTTGCGTTACGTGGCGAGCAAAAAAAACCTTAGCCCCCATTTGTAACTCCTGTGGCGTTGCAAGTTTCCATGGACAGCATTGATTGCTTACCATTAGGTAAGCTGGCTACTTGGTTGCTTATAAAAAAGGTACTCACCAATACAATTTCATGTAGAATATTCGGCGGGGAGCGATCTATGACGGAGTGTACAGTTCTCATGAGGACTGAGAATCCTTCGTTGTGGAACACGATGATGACTGAGGTGCTTGGCAGCTCTGTGGGGTAGTGCCAGTACTTGCACTCGTCCAGACGTGTGTCGGGAATCGATCTGAAGACAAAAATGAAGTATAACTTATGAAGGTATGTAGTTTATTGGAGTAGATGTCCATTTTGGCTAGTTTGCCACATTGAGAAGAAAAAAAGGTTGATTGGTTTCGGATTTAAGTTTGTTTTCTTAAAGTAATCTACATATTATAAAATCAGTGCCTTACACAAATGCCACTTTAATGCATGTCTACCGAGAGAGTAGAAAACTAAATGTATGGGAATGACACTGACAAGTGTCAAAAATTACGTCAATTCCATATTATTTCGTTTTCTATTCTACATGTAGACAAGCGCTAAATGACATTTGGCTACAGCTGCAAGTTTGTTTATCAATTTATAGTGATTTCTAATTATTACCTAAATACGCATGACCTATGTAATAACTATAAGTCTAGTAAATGTTTAAAATAATTACTAATCTACTTAATCGCTTCCTTGTGCGTACTGCTAAGGAGTGGAAGTCTCTGCCAGAGTTTGTAGAGGTATTTCCTGAAGGGTATAACCTGGGTGTCTAACCGAGTGAATAGGTTGCTTATGGGACGACGTGCTCTATCGTAGACCGCAACATCGCTTACCATCAGGCGAGATAGTGGTCAAACGTCGACCCATCAAATATACAGGGTGGAATTTTGTAATGACACCTGAAGGAGAAGTACTCTTAATACTTTAGATAAAAAATTTTACTCAAAGAAAACATTCCTTAATTTTTGAAAAGAAAGAAAACTGCATTTAAACATTTTTAAAAATTTGTCCGCATCACACGGTAATCGAACCGACTAAAATCTGTGTCAAAGTTTACACCCTGTACTTTTATTGCATTGATCGTTCATTGTTTTCCTTTCATTAAATTTATGAAGTTTTCTAGAGAGATTTCAACTTTATTGACCATAACAATCGATGCAATAGATGTACAGGGTGAAACTTTTACAGATTTTAGTTGGTTCGATTAACGCGTGCGGCAAGCGAATTTTAAAAATCTTAGAATGCAGTTTTGTTTCTTTTCAAAAACAAAGGAAAGTTTTCTTTGATTAAAGTTTTATTTGTATCTTAAATATTAAGAGTACTTTCCCTTCAGGAGACATTACAAAATTCCACCTGTATAAAAAAAAGCCTGCCCACGTTCTAGAGCGTTTATTAAGGCCATTAAGACGACTAACTTCTAACGTATCTTGATCTTAATAACAATTTGTTACAATATTAATCAGATTGTTGATGAGGAACAGGATATTTCCAGGTCAAGTCCATTGTACAGTAATGTAGGTTACTCACGACAACTGTTCAGCCGTTGTTTTTAAACGTCATAAAACAGTCGTACAATGCTTTATGCAGGCAGGCAAGTACTATGTGATTCTAAGCATTAGGTCATATATGCGTGTGAATGGTTGAAGGATTTATTGCTCGCTGATTGAGTAAATTGAGCGAATTTAGTAGCAACTGTTACGTTGATAGTATGGGAGTCTTATAGCCTACCAATATCTTGTTCTATTTTTTTAATGGAATAAGCGGGTAAACGAGTAGACGGATCAAGTGATAATAAGCATTTGGTGTCGCCCATGGACACCTGGAACACCAGAGGCGTAACAAATGCGTTACCGGCCTTTTGGGATTAGGCATTTGAGGATTCGGGATTGGGGAGACTGGAGAGGGGGGTAATTGGGCCTCCGGTAACCTCACTCACACGACGAAACACAACGCGTTTTCTGTGAGGTCGTGGTATCACTGCGGTCGAGCCGGCCCATTCGTGCCGAAACATGGCTCTCCCACACTTATTCTACAGGTGTTTCTGCAGTCTGATGTGTTTACAAATATCATTTATAACGGTTGTATGTTTGTAAACGCACCCAAGACATAGGAGTGTGGGGAAACGTTTTTCTAAAGAGAGAAAGAGAGTTAGTGGTTGCTGTTTACTGAAAGCCAAACACATCATTATTTAAAATCATTGTCTGTATTACCTACCTACAGACTTAGACAGTATTACCTACAGACAATGATTATTATATAATGATACGTTTTGGGATGCCGGTGACCTATCTTCAGCAGTTAAAATCTTGTAGCTGATATGATGATGACGGTGACCGTCTACCATACGAAGGCCCGTAATCTTTATTGCTATCATAAGTATCATAATAAATGTACACAACATTCCAACTAACCTGTTCATAGCGATATCATTGGAGGCTGCTATGTTCATGCCGTATTCACCCTCAGACTCTGCGATATCGTTGGCTCTGTCCTGAGCCATGTGGTAGGGCTTGCCTTCTTCACCGGGGCCTTTCACGACATGCAGGTCTCTCGGCTCGAAGTTGCCGAGTTCTGGAACAAAGAATTAAGTGTTACATACATTTTATTACGGTATAGATAGGTAACTGGAAATAACTGGAAAAAACATTAACTTAGAGGTATAAACTTATTTAACTTTTATTTGTATAATATGTAATTAAAACTTTTGTTACGAAATAAGAAAAAAAAAAAAAAAAATTCAATTGGTATTGTAAGTGTACATTTTCTGAAGGAAATAAAAGGCTTTTTATTTTATTTTATTTATTTATTTTTATTATAGATAGGTAAACGAGTCACCTGATGGTACGCAAAGCACTGCACCTGCAATACTAGAGGACCTACAATTACATTGTGGCAAGGGGCCTTATGTGAGACTGTGGCATTACTCCAGTTCAGCTGGCCTATTCGTTTCGAAGTAGGCTCACCCACGAATACTTCATTGGATAAAACGCAAGAAAAATTACTGAAAATGAATCGGAACGGACAACGGCTCCGTTGTCTGCTCTTAAAAGTCATTAGGATGGGCTCACGTTTAGCCGTAGACGCAGAATTCACTACCATTGAAAGTGCCTATTCGGTACGCCAGTTCATATTGTTTTTAAATGCAATTTCACTGCGACAACGGTAATTTCCCGGTTTATTATGTGTTATAAAGTCATAATTATATTGTTATAATATAGGTAATGTGAATTTAAAACCGTAAAGTATTGAATTCTAGTGCTGTTACATACTCGTAATTGAGTAATCTTACTTTTATAAATATAATTTATAGGGCGGATCGGTGGGACTCTCCGATGTTGGCTCGCTGGATAAGGCTGCATGCAGTTGTATAGTGTTTTGCCACCATCATCGGGTAGTCCACCCGGCCCTGCCACTAACTAGTTAAGCATTTAACTGTTATTATTACTAACACTAGTTTGTGAGCTCGCAGTTGTACTAACACATAATTATACATGTAAACCTGAAATGAATGATTATTTATTTATTTATATCTAAACGCGACAGTTTGTGAGACTTTTTCACGTCGAAACTGTTTAAGGGATCGAAATAAAATTTCGAATATGGATAGGTTATGGTCTGGAATAGAACATAGGCTTTTTATCTTATGGGAACGCGGGCGAAACCGTTGGCAGACGCTAGCTATTTTTTTTATATGTACCTAGCATAATCCGGTAAACGAGCAAACGGATCACCAGAGGCCTTAGTACGAGTTTGATTTACGTTTGGTAGTTATCGCCGAACGCGTATTCGTTTCGAATACTTTAAACGTAAATCAAACTCTTACTAAGGCCTCTGGTGGTAAGCAATCGGCGCCGCCCATGGACACCCGAAACACCAAGTCGTTACAAGTGCGTTACCGGCCTTTTGGAAATTAGGAATTTGAACATTGTGGAGGATTCGGGGATTCGGGAGACTAGGGAGGGGCGTAATTGGGCCTCCAGTAACCTCACTCACACGACGTAATACAACGCAAGCGTTGTTTCACGTCGGTTTTCTGTGAGTACGTGGTATTTCTCGAAGCATGGCTCTTCCACAGTTTTATTTTTCTTTAATACGTAACGAATTATGATATGACTAACAACAGTGCGTGAAAGCGCTTGACACCATAAGACCTGCTAAGTTTTTATGTTATGGCTAATAGACTAGACTAGTTAATTAAGGTACCTTTAGTAATTCAATTATTCTAACTCGTTTTATCATCTTCTTAAGTTTAGTGTCTTTACGACCAGTCTAGGACTAAGGTAGACAACCGAAAACTCTGTATAAATAGAGACCTATTATAAAAAGACTCGATAGTAAAAAAATGTCTTAAAATAAACATAAATAATAACATAACATAAAAACAAGCATTTTGTACAATGTAAAGCTTACTTTTCCTTATAAGTCCCATGTAATAGGAGGGGAGTCTATTGCCACAATTCCAGGGTCCGTGCTCCTACTGAGTGTTTTTTAAAAACCCAGTAATACTTTGTTCGACCCAGGAATCGACCCCGAGACCCCTTACACGGTAGTCGCACTTGCGACTATTTGGCCAACGAGGCAGTCCGCCCGAACATTAAGAGATAATTTATTCCAGTATTAGCCTATATTTAATGAAACCGGTTTTGTAGACTGCCGTACAATCTGCGACCAGTTTTCGCCATTCTAGACTGCATAGCACAAAGTGAAAGACTCACTCTTCATTATCATTTCATATTTATTTATAAAATTCAAAGACTGGTTGATAAATAAACAAGGGTGACGTGATTTTGATTCATGTACTGACTCTGAGAACTATGTACCTACACACATTTTAGTCACGTTTTCTATAATATGTTTGAACAAAGCCATATTCGTTACCCGTTGCCCGAGACATCGGCCGCGTAGAATATGATTCCTGTTTTATCTAATGGGAGCATTTAATCGGGATAAACAGTATCCCATCACCTAAGTCTGTACATACCCTGCCTGTATACCTAATTTTATCACAATCCGTTCAGTAGTTTCAGCGCGGTTGACGGACAAACATGCAAACAAAGAAATTTTCACATTTAACTAGAACTTTTTTTAAGGGGGGAAAATCATCGAATGCCTTCTCCCGCCTGGGTGAGGCGGGAGGGAGTGTCAGTATCTTACTGACTAAAAACCACCCCGTTCCTTCTCCTGCACGTCGAGCCGGAGCCCCGGTAACCCGTTAGGTTCTCCGCCACACATTTTACTAGAATATTAGTGTGATTACTAGTACTATGTAAATTAGTTGTAAAAATCCTCTATTTTTCTTAAGTTGCGATTTGCAGTGACATTATTTATTGATAATCAGTTCATTGACCTCATTGAATATGACTCACAAAGAGAAGAATAGCTAAACAACTACTAGCATTTAGAATTACCAGCATAACGGAATAAATAAAACAGTATGTCCCTGGGTTTATAGTCAAAAAATAATAATATGAAATCTTACACTAACTTAAATAAAGTGTGAAATAAAGATGCTTAAAACTTGAACATTAATATTGACATGTTTTTTTTAAACATTTTCAAATATGGTAATACACAATTATAGACATTTTGCACAATTTTTATTATAGCAATATCGGCTATTTTTTGTTTTTGAGAGGGGAAAATCATCCAATGTCTTCTTCCGCCCGGGTGAGGCGGCATTTCGACATTACTATTTTTTTAAACCTTATTTTAAAAGGTCTATCTTATCTAAATGGGCAAATAGGTGAAAATAAACTTTTAAAGCATTCAGCCAGCATAATGATAGAGAGAGCTTTATTTATTTCAATAAATAAATAAAATAAATGATAGTAGCTCTCTCTTTACTTAGTATTCTAAGCACATACTTGTCTTTAAACTAGCTAGTGATCATAGGTTGTCATTGTTGTTGCCTATTGATCATAGTATGACATTTTAAATACAAATAACATCTATTTTATTATTTAGATGCCGTGACATGATTTCAACACTGAACTGTGATGGACAACCGGATTTATGACCACAACCACTCGGTCAAGAGCGTACAACTAAGAAGAAGAAGAAGAAGCAGAAGAAGAAGAAGCAGAAGAAGAAGAAGACACTAATTTGACATTGTGATTAACTCTGTCACTTTTAAATTAAAATATGTAATATAGAGGTAAATTACATAAAGTGGAAGAGATTTGTTTGTTTGTTTGTTTGAACATGCTAATCTCCGTAACTACAAGTCTGATTTGAATAATTCTTTTGGTGTTGGATAGCGCATTTATCGAGGATGGCTATAGGCTATAAAACATCACGCCACAACCAATAGGAGCTGAACAGAGCGTGTAAAACCGCGCGGAAGTAGCTAGTGTAATATAAATTTTACACTTTTAAGTCATGGTATGCCTTAGACATATGCGATATAGAACTTAGACATATGCGAGACACAATGTGTTTTCTACTGTCTCATATAAGAGGTTAAATCATCTGTTTGAGTGAATAAGCATGCATATTCTATCTGTGTGTAGGTGCTCAGAAGAGTGGTAGTCTGGTTTATTTAATTCTTTATTAAATTGTTATTTGTTGTATGTATACAATAGTGTATTAATATGGATACAAATATTTATTTGAATGGATGTGGATCAGCCACAGATGATTCAGTATACATTGAATAATGCATATTGTGTTTATGAGAATTATACATACTCTCTACATCAATAGATGACTTATCAGTAAGATTTTGTTAACAACTTGCTACCTCCACGCAGTTTTATGTGTTCTGCTCGGCGCCTATTAATCGTAGCATGATGTTTTATAACCTATAACCTTCCTCGATAAATGGGCTATCTAACATTAAAAGAATTTTTCAAATCGGACCCACAGTTCTTGAGATTGGCGCAAACAAACAAACTTTTCATCTTTATATCATAAGATTAATAAGTAGAAAATAATATACTGAAAGAAAATCAGATGTTTAAGAAAACTATGTAATTGAAAACACGAAAAAAAAAATTTACACATTAAAAGGAGGTTTTAATTACCTACATGGGACACTTAGATAGCTATCTAAGATTATACTATTCTGTGAATTATTATTGATTAGATTATAAAAACATAACTTTGTTTTAAATTTTAATTGTATCATTTCTATCTATCTAGAACTGAACTCTTTCATATCAAATGTGGGAAACTATTTATTCTATTCATTTTGGAACTGAAAGAATATATTTCGTATTTTATAGCTACTACTTCCTAACACGATAAAACAACAATTAACTGTAAAATTACAATAGAAAGTTAACACAAACTTTGTACCACAATAGTTTGCGACAGAGCTGTGAATATAACGATATACGGCAATTATACGGACACAAAACATGTACTGACGCAACAAAAACATTGCGAGGTCTGTGGAACCGATATGCCGGGGCCGTAGGCCAACTAACAGTACTTGCTATTAACACTTACAAACACCAACAAATTACTCAAATAAGTAAACAATTACGTTACCTGTCTTCAAAGTCGGGTAAACGTCACGATGTGATTTATAAAATGCAGACTGGGACTCCAAATTTAATTCTCGCTCGAATTCAACAGCACCAGTATCCGTGGACCACTTATGCAAAGCGAATAGTAGAAGTAATAGAATCGCGCACGCCGCTCCCATGCGGATGATCCGGCCCCTTCGCACATTTGTGATCCTCATTTTTTTAATTTATTTTAGTTCATAACAAATGAAATTTTTAATGAAATCTAACTCGAACGTCCCGAGAAATCGTCGACGATCGACTCGCGGGTGACGTTTAGTTGGTGACAAATTGACAACGTCAACATACTGCGTTCTGTAATACGTTCCGATTATGGATGCACTTTTTTATGACATCATTTATTGTTGGTTATTATACATTTTTATAATTAAATTACCTTTTCTATTTGACTACAAGCATCATATTACATATGTAGACAATATAAATTTTATTTTCAATATTATTGAAGGTACTTGCAATTTTCTGAAATTGGAAGATTGATGGAATTTCTAAACGGTCTAATTTGGCAGTGGCACTTTAGTTTGACATATTTTTCAACAATTCAAATCAACCGTTTGCTTGGCTTGTATTTTGGATTTAAATGAAATTAGTTTTACATTGTTGTTTGTTTATTTTGCTGGACGAAATATTGCAAGAAAGTGCATAAAAACGTACTGATAATCAAATAGATTTAGACTAGGATACATAGGATCAAGTGAAATTATTAAATTGTGAAAAGAATTCCCAAAAAGTAACAATGGAAAGAGGTACGATAGCTTTACACAATTATTTTCAGTTTATTTTGTAATATTTCTGTGGGTTATTTAGATGATTATCATGCCCGTTTTTGTTGGCATGCCTAATAACCAATTCTTATAAGACATAACATAACATAACATAACATTACGGCTTTTTAACCCGGAAGGGGTAGGCAGAAGTGCACATTACGGCACTTAATGCCACTGTACAATGTAACACCCACTTTCCACTATTTATGTTATGAGTCCCATGTAATAGGGGGTGAGCCCATTGCCATATACCGGGCACATTTCCAGACTCCGTGCTACCACTGAGATTTTTAAAAACCCAGTAGGTAATACTTTGCCCGACCCGGAAATCGAATTCGAGACCCCTTGCCCGTCAGTCACACTCTGCCAATGAGGCAGTTCCTATAAGAATATATTTATAATAAACACTTGTAATTACAGCACAAGCGTTTATGGAAAACTTCATAGGCAATTGGAATGGGGACTTTCCAAACTATCCGCTGACAGCTGAGGACCTGAAGAAACCTCATGCAGTGATGGGAGCCTTGCTACAAGTGCTTGACAGACTTGGTATTGATACAGATGTTGTTCTTGCTGTAAGTATGCTAAGGTTTTATTTTAAACTTAATAGATTACAGCAATAAGGTACACTTTAGTTTCTGCCTACCCCCTTGGGAAATAGGCATGCGGTTATGTATGTTTCCATTCATAAGTGTCAGATGGTCAGAGGCCTTAGTACGAGTTTGTTTTACGTTTCAAGTATTTGTAACATGTACGTGTTCGGCGCTGTAATTGGTTGCTTCATTGGTGTTGGCCAATTAGAGTGCCGAACGCATATTCCTTTGAATACTTTAAATGTAAAAGAAACTCATACTAAGGCCTCTGTATTTTTATTGTAGATAGGTACTTGTTGTACGAAACAAATACTTAATCTTGTTTATTAGTTTGCACCTTTTATTTTATATTACTTTCTCAATGAATTAACTAAAAATTACGAGTTACCCACGTGAATATACTGAGAAAAGCTCTACTAGTTTCGAGCTACAGAGAGTCTTCAATATGAGCAGCGTGAGCAGTCGTTACGACGTCGCATAGCTTACTGCGCGCAATACATTCACGTGAGCAACCGGTAATAAATTCAGTATGTCTCACGATAGCTATTATAAAAAGTTTCTCAATGATCCCTTCTTAATTTATACTTTGAATTAGCTGATTGACACATTTATTATCAACCAATTGTTTACAGCCACCTCCAAAAGAAGACCGCAACGAAAACACAATGTACTACTGGGACCTGCTTCCCGTTATCAACATGACGCGAGTCATTAATCACCTCGTCTCCGTGATGCCACAAGTAGAGGCTACAATCAGCATCGTACACTTCCTTCAACCGACGGCCACTACGTCACACTCCATACTGTTGTTGCTGTTCAACCTCATGGTGTTCAATGAAGAGAAGATGAGGAATATTGCTCCATACGAAGAGGAGTTGTTTGCGAAGACTGGCGAGGTCAGTATTGCAATTTTTTCATCTTAGTTAACCCATATATCCCCAAGCGGTCACCAGTGACCGCTCGTCACTAACTACATTATGGACCTTATTTTCAATGTTAGAAACTACTTTTGTATGAACAAATTTAGGAGATGATTTTCAACAATTTTCAAGAGGTTAATGGTAATGGTAATGTTTAATATTATGTACTATGGACACAGAAGTCACACTGTAAATTATCATTGTTATGTGGGAAACAAATTAAAAAACACTTGTTATGCAAATAATTACCTCTATTGCAGGTTAAAGCTTTAGAGGAAAAGAAAAATAGACTGCTGGAAATGCTAAATGAACAGGCTGAAGAAAAAGGAAAACGAGCTGGAAGACTAGAAAAGGTAATTGAAAGTTTGTTTATGTTACTTTAAACTACTCTGGACTCTGGTTGTAGTCAACAAACCTGCTATAGCCTATGAAAGATTGCATACCATTTACAATTATTCTGTTATGCCATCTTTTCCGGCTTCTCATATTGCTGTGCATTCATGTAAAAGTACCCCTAAGATGGTATGATCTTTACTTGAGTAGTCTATCACGACAGTAGGCCCTGCAACTAAGTAAAGACCAACTATAATAATAAATCATGTGCCTCTTTGGACACTTAAAAACTTGATTTATAAATCTAAATTACTCTTTACTAATCATTCCAGCTTGACCACGATATAAAAATGTTTGAAGAAGAATTGAAACAAGAGAAAGAGATCCATGATGAAGAGAAACTGGAGTTAGAAGCTATACAGAAGGAGAACAAGCAGACTGAGATGATTATAGAACAGAAGAAGAGTCATAGAGATGCGCTGATGGCTGAAGTAGCTAGGAAAAGGGCACTTAGGTATGTAATTCTATGTTTTATTTTTTACTGTCGCCAGTTAATTGACCAGGCTTACTCTTGAATCCAATTCCGATGGATCGACATTCGTATTGTGAAATTTCAAAACAAGTAGGTATTTGAAGTGACAGTTTAATAGATTGATTTATTATACTTAATTTGTGTCGCGGGGAACCTAACGGGTAACCGGGGCTCCGGCTCGAAGTGCAGGAGAAGGAACGGGGTGGTTTTTAGTCAGTAAGAGTCTGACACTCCCTCCCGCCTCACCCAGGCGGTAGCAGTCATTTGATGATTTTCCCCCTTTAAGAAAAAGATACTTAATTTGTGTCCTACTTGCGCAAAATTAAATGCGCTAACTTTCTGAAGCTTTCTACTAATTAATTTACTTTTATCTATGAAATATTCTATCATATTAAAGTTATGTGATTTTCTTTCTTATTCATTCTGACTTATGTATTATTTCAGAGTTTATGACGCAGATGACATCAAAGTCCAGGCAGAACAGGCCACACAGAACCTTCAAGAGTTAGAGGAGAAGCTGGACTCCCTCCGAGCTATTCTTATGCAGAAGGAGAACAGCCTCAAAAACCTGCAAACCATCAAACCCAACTTGGACTCTGCTAACAATTTGTTGCACGAGATCATGAAGCTTTCTGATAGTTTGAAGTAAGTTTTTACTTTTGATTCCTACTGATTGCTATTGTGAAACATTGACATTTTGAGATGAACATAATGGCAATAGGCTCACCCTCTATTACATGGGACTCAGAACTAAATACTGGAAAGTGGGTGTTACCATTGTACAGTGGCATTAAGTGCTGTAATGTAAAAATAATGAAGGGATAGGCAGAGGTTCCTCTGCCTTCGGGGATAAAAGACGTGATGTTATATGTTATGTTGTTTGAGATTATTATATCGAGTATACATACATTAGCCAAAATATTTTTGTATCAAAAACCCTAGTGTAATTATCATAGCAAACAAAACGTCTAGGCATTTTGCATACATAAGTGAATTTCGTAAAGCTATACTTTATAGTGGTTAAACAATGACGAAGAGAACAATCTAAGTACATAATTATGTATTCTGTAATTTTCAATTCGAAAGACCAATGTAAACTGTATCTACCTGTCTGTCATGTCCGGTTGGGAGAATAATCTCGACGGCGAGAATGCGATTGAGCTCACTTCGAGAGTTCGAATTGACAGTTAGAGAATAACTCTTGAATCCATTCCGATCGATCGACATTGATATTGTGAAATTTCGTACTCTTTAATTGCAACACTAGCGCCCCTTGCCGTCCGTATTGTGTGGATATTTAATGAACTAAATGGTATTGAGTTTGGCTTTATATTCCGTACTCTGAATGCTTATTTTACAGCTTCGATAGGGGTTGTATAGTTTTGACATAAATTCACTTGTTTCACTTGACATTGAATAATTATTGAGATTGTATTGCATTGAGATTGAGATTGGTTTCAAGAGTAAGCACCCAGTAGTAATAGAAACATCAAAGTACAACTGCTTGGCAGGTATAATGGATTTTGTAACCATTCACCCATTAAAATATAGCGATAACTGCTTTTTATTAATCTCTAAATTGTATCTTGTTTCCAGGGACTTTGAGAACGGAGATCTAGACACGGATAGTAAGGAGGGAGAGCTGGATGTCCTGAACACAGAGCTGGGAGAGTTACAGGCACAACTGTCCGAGCTGCAAGCTGCGCGGGACGACGCGGCCAGGAAGCGCGCCGACAGCCAGGCCAAGAGGCAGCAGGACAGGACTGTGGCACATAGGTACGAATGTCATTGATGAACTAGATCGTTGTCAAGAGTTTTTCGCAACATTATCGTTATTTGGCTAATCTGTCTCTTAGACTTATCCTAAAGCAATCGACATCAGTTTTAGTCTGTCATTTATCTTGAGACTAGCTACTTCTGCGCGGTTTCACACGGTCTGCTCAGCTCCTATTAGTCGTAGCTTAATGTTTTAAAGCTTATAGCCATCCTCGATAAATGCGCTATCCAACACAAAAATAGTTATTCAAATCAGACTTGTAGTTACGGAGATTAGCGCGTTCAAACAAACAAACAAAAAACAAACTCTTCTGCTTTATATAATAGTATAAGATATAAGATTGAGAGCTATAAAATGTTCACAAGGAATATGTACAGAGCTCGGTACGGAGGTATTTTTACGCCCCTTTGTATCTTACAACGACTATAAAAAGATTGTGTGAGTTGATAGTTTTCGTATGTGCTTGTCAGCACCTTCTGGCATCCGAAAACTTCGCAGATGACGCCTATTGATAACGAAGAGCAATTATGTTCCTACAGCCACCAATTAGCTACTTACAGCCACTTAAAGCTGGCGAAATAGGCTTCAACTGTTTCCTTACACTTTATTTCATTTTACAGTTCCCTAAGAGAGGCTGAAGAAAAAGACAAGAAACTTCGAGAACGATCGAAGAAGGCTCTGCAAAGAACAGAGGAAATTAAAGAGTTGACAACCAAGTATGAAAACGAGAAAACTGCTGGGATTGAACAGTTGGCGACGATTAAGAATAACTTCTGTACTGAGGTAAGCATATATGATTTTAATCGTTATAAGTGCAATTAAATTACTATTTGAACTATTAGAAATATTAATTAGATTAAATATTAATTAGAAAATGAATTCTATGGCTCGCGCGTAAAGTTTATTTTTCATTGTAAGATGTAGTGTAGATATATAATCTTGTGTAGATATTATATATTAATAATTGACTTTATGCCACTTTCGTAAAGCTTTTATGGTAACTACTATGTGGTACTAATAATTTATTTTAATTTCAGCTTAAAACCATGGAAGAATTGTTACTAAAGAAAGTTGTGGAAGCTGAGAAGAAAGTAGAAGAAAAATTAAAGAATAGACATGTATGAAACGTCTAAAAATATTACTAGTTACAAAAGTTACGATTAAGACAGTTTTGCAAACAGATATTTTTTCAGAAAACTATAACATTCTGCTTAAAAGGACATTCTGTAGGCTAAGCCTTCAGAATGTCCTTTTAAGTGGTTACGAATTTGTTTTACGTTAAAAGTAATTGAAACGAGTAATTCGGCGCTCTGATTGGCCGCCGCCAATTAACTAACCAATCAGAGCGCCGAACGCAATCTCGTTTCGATTAGTCTATATACATTTTTATTTTAATCAAAAAGCAACAATTTATTTATGTGTCATAGACAACTTATCTTTGTTCATAAATATTTACATTCTCAATCTTTAGAACATTGTAACCAGCCAGTTATTTAAAATTTTCAAAGAAGGTTCCAATCGATAATGTTCTCCCTTATATAATTTAATTGTATTATAATTTTTGAATAAGGAAATAATAAAATATATATTAATAAAAGAAAATAAGAATTTTATTTTTAGAGACTACATAATAATATGTTTGAATGCATAAAGTTGGTTACTTTATACAAAATTATAGAATATTAATTAATAATACAGAGATTTACACAGTCTTCGTTCTACAAAGGGATGATGATAACAAAACAAATTATTATGGTTCTTTAAATGTGAAAAGCCATACATTTCTGTGAATTTTGTATGGGACTACTTAAAACTTTACACTTAGTGTGTGTGACATTCCGTAAATTAGCCTAAAATACGAAAACAAAGTTCTTCTTCGTTGGTTAAATAAGTTATTTTGAAAAAACACTGTTAGATAGGCACACAAATAAATTTTGAACTATATACAAACTATTTTTGACATAAAATCATCATCCCAATTTCTTTGATCTCAAAAGAAATAATTACTTTTTTTAAACTTAGTCTTTGGTATGTTTAAAATGCTACAGTTTAGCAGTTGCTGATGTCAGGCAGGGTCTTTCCCTTGCAGTGGTTCTTCCATCCGTACCAGGCCTCGAACTTGTGACGTTTGTAGATCTTCTTGGCGCACTGAGAAGCTAGGGTGATGTCGTCTAACAGCATTTCTGGAAAAGAAGAAGAAAATTAGTAGCTGAAGATTTTGGTCATTGTATGTGAAGCTTTTGTCCTGCAGTGGGACGATCATGGCTGCAAATAAAATAATGTAAGGTTATTGTGCAATGGGCTGCAAAAATTGTTCGATTATTCCACCGACTACAATCACATACTAATATTATAAATGTGATATTTCTTTGTGGATTTTTCTGCGTCAATCACGCTGAAACTACTGAACGATTTTAGTAACATTTGATATACAGGCAGGGTATGGGCTGATCTGTGATAGAATACTTTTTATTCCGATTAAATGCTCTAGTAAACAGAAAGAAGGGGGCAAAGCCGCGGGTTAAAGCTAGTACCTATAGTCTATTTTTGAAGTTAAGGCTGTGTGCTTTGTGTATGTAATAGTACCTACTAGATACCCATAATATGGGACTCAAGGCAAAACTAGCGAAAAACATGGATGCTACATTTATATTTGAACTCGCACCTTCGCTTAGCGCTTTTAGAAATTAATGGCGAAATACAAACAGCCACTTTCACCCATTGTTAGTAAAGTGCCCCTCCAATACTTTTAGAATGAGAAGGAGAATTTATTCGTCTCTTGATTGGCTTAAACAGATAGTGCGGCTTCTTAGTTACGTCACTGTATTTTCTTTGGCCAAGTTAAGTGATTGACTTGACTTGACTGTACCGTTGGCGCGGTTGTTACGCGGCACCCCGTTCCTTCTGCACGTCGAGTCGGAGCCCCGGTTACCCGTTAGGTTCTCCGCGACTGTTAGGTCAGGTTCTCCGCGAAAATCCTAGTGTGAGTAACGTTTTTATAAAAAAAAACAAAAAGAAAAGTGTAGCAAGTGATATTTACGTGCACAAGTGACGTTGCAATCCTTGCCAGGAGTGCTAGTGTTGCTGCACCAGTACTTGTCGTTTATCTGGAACAGGCCGTAGTCGCGGGATCCGTTCTTGTTGACGGTGCCCGTCTTGTCAGTCTTCCTGCCACTCTCATTTTCTACCAGGCACACCCCTATGGAAAACAGAATTGTAATTAATAAAATATAACTCTGCCTGTCTCGTTGGCAGAGTGGTCGCAAATGCGACTGCCGGGCAAAGAGTCTCGGGTTCGATTTCCGGGTTGCGCAAAGTATTACTGGGTTTTTAAAAATCTCAGTAGTAGCACGGAGCCTGGAAATGTGCCCGGTATATGGCAATAGGCTCACCCCCTATTACATGGGACTCATAACATAAATAGTGAAAAGTGGGTGTTACATTGTACAGTGGCATTAAGTGCTGAAATGTGCACTTGCCTATCCCTTCGGGGATAAAATGGCGTGATGTTATGTTATGTCTATGTTAAAATATAACTCTGCTATCTCATTGGTCTAGTGGTCGTAATAGTGATTGCGAAATAACATGTTTCGGGTACAATTTTCAGGATGTTTTTGTGGTAAATGTATTAGAGGTTTTTAACTCTTAGTAACGCCACGCTGTGAAACTTTTCAATACCGTATGACCTTTAATAACCGGTATAACGTTTGAGCTCTATTATTTATTTACCTACAGGTAGTTACTGCATAAAAGTACTAAGGGTACTTGCTTTAAACAAAAATAAATTATTTCGACTGTTTAATACAATAAATTATTAAAAAATAATCACACTTTTATTAATTGATTTTATGACCAACTTTGTTTTAGTCTTTTATCAGCAAATTCTTAAGAATGAAGAATGGTATTTGACGCTAAAAAACGTGACGTCACAATACACAATCTCGTACAAAATTCATAGAAAAATGTCGTTTTTGATAGATCGAAAAAAGTATTGAATTTGTCTAGGTGGCCAGCTTATGCCTTTTGGAGTATTACCCTATTGTAGTCGTGATTCGTTATGCAGGTCCAACTATGTTGTTTATAAAAGTTAGTTAGAATAGAGAAATAATAATTGTAATACTTATATATAAACAAAGTAAAATAAAAAAAACTGTACTCACAATCCCTCATCTTATCCTCAGGGAACCCTTGCCTCCTCAGCTCCTGAACCAATCCGCATCTCGTAAACTGTTTCGCTTCACAATGCAAGCAGATCGCCGCAAGCGCAAGAACAAAAACCGTTAGCTTCTGCATGATTCCTTATTTAAAATTCAAACGACTTGTTCGTTCGAAGTCTAGACCGTGTCTGACGAAGATTTATCCGTGGCTATTTATATATGGACCGTGTGCATGTGTGGGTGTGTAACTGGGAACAGGGGATTCCATTTTATCAGAACAAAAACGCCTAGGGGTCATATTACAAGCGTTGCGAAGTAAACTGTTGTTACAAAGATGCAGATAGTAGGAAAATGTTTTGTTTTTGTAAACAATAACATCGTGTTACTGGGGAGTTGGGAAGAACTTTTTTAATCAGCTGTTTTTAAGAATTTTTGCCAAATATTGTTATTTATTAACCGACTTCTTTTGTTAATTAGATTATATTTTAGCTATATGGTACCTATGGATCTTTAGTTGTTATGACAGTCATGGTGGCTCTTAGTATAAGTTCAGCATTTCGACTGTTAATTTTTATAGTTTTTAGTTATTATACTTATTTAAACTGTCAAACACCAAGCGGTCACCGGTGACCGCAACCTATTGTTCTATAATTGTGTCTACAAAACCGGTACTCGACGAGTTAATACCAAGTCAAGTAAAACAACCTTGTTCAAACATTGAGTACCTAGGAATACAGAGGATTAATAGAATATGCAGGCAGAACTTGGCTTAGGTACCTACTAGACTACTAGAGGCTTAGTAAGTTCCTCAGTTTTATTTGTCTGTTCCAAGCGTTGTTGCTATTGTTATTGTTAGAACTGACAATGATTAAAATTGGGACAACAGTTTCGAAGATTAGCACCTTTGAACAAACATAGTTTTTCAGCTCTAGGTATATCTTTTGATTGCAATCAATCTGTTTAGTGTTGAGTCTTATCGTTTTGTTACTAGGTATAAGTAGGTATAGTACTTAGATATTAATTGCAAAAATACCTACTTACTTTGCAGTATGTGACAATTAATGTAAACAACAAGTTTGTAGAAATGCAAGTACCTAGGTCATTTAGAAAGATCTTAAGTAAGCTTGTTTAAACTGATTTGTTGACTTCACAATTTCCAAAGAGCAAGTAATGTTTGTTATCAAAATCGCGCTTTAGTGTGGGAGAACCATGCTTCGGCCTCACAGAAAACCGGCGTCAAACAACGCTCGCGTTGTGTTTCGTCTTTTGAGTGAGGTTACTGGGAACCCAATTGACCCCAAATCCTCCACAATCCTCAAATTCCCAATTCTAAAGGGCCGGTAACGCACTTGTAACGCCTTTGTGTTCCAGGTGTCCATGGGCGGCGCCGATTGCTTACCATCAGGTGATCCGTCAGCTCGTTTACGGGCTTATGCCATAAAAAAAATGTCTTTTGTTTACAAAGAAGAGAAGAATGTATAATAGGCTTTAAACATCTTGCTAGAATATTTTTTGTAAACTAAGCATATAAGATAGTAGATAAAAAAGAACGACTCGATCTCTTTAACTTGATTTTGTTACAATGTTCTCGCACAATCGAACCAATAAAACTGTGTAACTGAAGAATTGTATTGTAAACCTGATTGGAAAAGAGTAACCTATGGAGTTTCTTGCTCGTTCTCCATAGGAATCTACACCTTGGAATGAGCAAATAGCTTCACTTTTAAATTTCTATTGCTGACATTCAAAAGTGCCTTCCTGGTCTAATTGAAATAAATGATTTTGACTTTTGACTTTGACTTTGAACAAACCAGTTACGAACATACAGCTACTTATTCCAAAGATACAATGCTAAAGATAAACAAATGAATCGCAATTAAAAATAATACAAAAATTGCAATAAAATGCAGTCTAGATAAACCAAGATAAACTCATCGATATTTCGTAATGTGCTTGTGAACGATAAGAGTTATTAATCCTATATGTATTACTTAAGTAGTAAATGATAAATAGAAGATATGTAATTGCGAAGAAAAAGATTTTCCTATTAAAAGTTAAGGACAATAAAGTCATTTCTAGGGCTAGTTAAACACACGTCCTAAAAAAAAACAATAGTAGTATACGTATAACACCACGCCTTTATGCACGAAGGGGTAGCTAGAGGTGCACATTACGGGACTTAATGTCACTGCAATGTAACACCCACTTTTCACTATTTATGTTATGAGTCCCATGTAACAGGGGTGAGTCTATTGCCATATACCGGACACACTTCCATACTACGTACGTAGATAACATAGTCAATATTATTTGTATGACTAGTAATTTATGGATGCCCCCTAAGCGTTATTCATTTATTGATAGCTAAAATTATGTCTTCATGGTCACCACACAAATAAACCATATGGAATATGTAATATTCTTATCAAAATACCTACGAATTAAACAAATTATTACTTTGTATAAATAATAATCACCTACGTATTACATCCCGTCTTTTTATTGGAAGCAAGTAGAACAGCTCACACATAGGACCCACTTAGTTTTTAGTCAAATTTCCATGGTGCTTGGCGACTGGGCTTCACCTAGTTGTACAGTCTCTTCTTTGTGCCTTTAGGCTTAATTCATTCTGTCTCCTGCAGTAATTCACCGAGGGAAGTGGAAACCATAGTTTTTTCTTGTTCTCCTCTTATAATATCCTCTGATTCACTTCGTTGCGGGAACCAAGACAGTTACTTATGTCCCTGGGACGCGCCGGACTTCAGTTCTCTGGTGTTTTCGTGGTTGTATCTACTGTAGATCCTGGCTTACAGGAGTTGCAGCGGTTTTGGGAGGTTGTGGCGGGCTTGTCCCATAAAAAAAATTTATTATCTGAACGGGAGAACAACAGTACACTTAAATGGATTATTATAAAACGTTGTTGAAATACTTATTCGCTATTATTTGTTTAACATGGCAATCGAATCAAAGACACCATGCAAAGGTACGGTAGAAATTATGATTTAGGTATATTTGCAAACTATTTTTGCGTTGCGACTGATTATAAAAAAATATTAACATAAAGGCACTCGGGGTCCGTGCCCAAGGCCACTATTAACATAGTGCTGCATTTAGATCTTTACCGCCCTTTTTGGTTGTGATCAGTACCGCCTTTACCATAAAAGCACTTGGGATCCGTGCCCAGGGCCACTATTAACATAGTGCTGCATTTAGATCTTTACTGCCCTTTTTGGGTGTGATCAGTACCGCCCTTTCCATAAAGGCACTTGGGATCCGTGCCCAGGGCCATTAACATAGTGCTGAATTTAGATCTTTACTGCCCTTTTTGGGTGTGATCAGTACCGCCTTTTCCATAAAGGCACTCGGGGCCCCCATTCTGAGGGGTCCCCGGAGGACCGACAATTTCTACGACTGACATACACTCACTACTGTACTATAGCGGGTTTTGATTCCCCGACACAAATCTTTCTGTGCTTCACAAATTCTTGTTTCGGGTCTGGGTGTCATGTGTATTTTGGGAATTTGTGTTTGTAAACGCACCCGCGATATAGGAGAAAATCCTTAAAAAAAAGAAATGTTCCAAAATGGACCCAGCGAAGTTTAAAACAGAGCTGTCTTAAATTGGGCGTGATATTGTTGCTAAGTGAATACGTCATATTAACAATCAAACAGTGAGACTACACAAGGAAAATATGATGTACAAAATAACAGTGTCTGTCTCCAAGCGGCCGGGGCCGCCCCTTTATCAGTGTCTTACGAACTCGGTTAAAATAACTAGTCAAGACTCAAGTGTATTTGTATCTGGGTTCTGTATAAACCATTAAAGTCACCAATCAGATATTTATGTAATTAGGAATCATAATTTTTTTTAAGTGTTTTTTAATCAACGAGTGACTTTTCCGGCCTGGGTGAGGTGGGAGGGAGTGTCAGAGGCTTAATGACTAAAAACCATCCCGTACTCCTGCACTTCGAGCCGGAGCCCCGGTAATCCGTTAAGTTCGGAAATCATTAGCAATGCATTTAAGTGGTAGGTAAGAATAATATTTTTTTTTATGGGGAAAATCATCAAATGACTTCTCCCGCCCAGGTGAGGCGGGAGGGAGTGTCAGACTCTTATTGACTAAAAACCACCCCATTCCTACTCTTGCACTTCTAGCCGGAGCCCCGGTAATCCGTTAAGTTCGGAAATCATTAGCAATGCATTTAAGTGTGGGAGAGCCATGCTTCAGCAAGGAATGGGCCAGAGTGATACCACCACGGCCTCACAGAAAACCCACGTGAAACAACGCTTGCTTATTTTATGTTGTGAGTAAGGTTACCGCAGGCCCAATTATCCCCCCCTCCCTTCTTCCCCAATCTACCCAAATTCCTGAATCCCCAACAATCCTCAAATACCTTATCCTTAACAGGCCGGTAACCCACTTGTAACGCCTCTGGTGTTCCAGGTGTCCATGTGCAACGCCGATAGCTTACCATCAGGTGATACGCCTAATCGTCTACCGGCTTATCCCATCAAAAAGAAAAAAATGGCAGTCTTGATAATGGTTACATCTCCTTGTTTAGTCAGAGATCGTGGTTTAAATTTAATAGGTTCAAATTTGTTACAGAGCACTGCTGCTCTATTTGTAGTTCAATGTGTATATGTCCTGTTAGCTTACGACAGTCGAGGGAAGATTGGGGGGAGATAGGTGGGGATTTTTTTTAAAGGGGGGAAAATCATGGAATGACTTTTCCCGCCTGGGTGAGAAGGGAGGGTGCGTCCGACTCTTACTGACTAAAAACCACCCACGTACCACGTTCCTTCTCCTGCACGTCGAGCCGAAGCCCCGGTTACCCGTTAGGTTCTCCGCGACACCTAGGTGAATAACTGTTACTATTCTACACTGTCGTCTCCAATGTCGGGTCACTACTATTTTTTTAACCGACTTCTCAAAAAGGAGCGTGTTATCAATTCGGCTATATGCTTTTTTGTGTGTATGTTACCCAATTACTCCGGCGTTTGTAGACGGATGTTGATGATTCTTTTTTTGTTGGAAAGGTCATACTCTCGGGGTGGTCCCATTTGGGACCAGGTCAGGATCTGATGATAGAATCCCATGAATTAATACGGGATGTGGCACTGACTTACCTATCAATGGGTGGGTAATCTATAAGTACGTATGACTAATAATAGTTATTTCTTGCCTTTTAGTTTTTACCTTTTGCTTGTTTTTAGGTTTTGATTTTCGAAGTCGATTTTTTTTATTTTATTTTAGTTATTTAGGAAAACAAACAGTGACACATTACTACCTCTATGTAATAGTGTTGAGTATTGGATCGAATAAATACTTATACTAGAAAAAAGAGAAAGCAAAATTTGTATCGTTAATTTATTATCTTAAGTCTTTTGTAAGACGACTACTGAACTCTGAAATAACCACAAAGATACATACAGCTCGTCTGCTGGTTATTAGTTAGTCATACAAGGTTTTTGGTCCTAATTGTTAAAGATACACTCATATTGTTAGGTAGGTGCTGCATTTTCCTGCCCGCAATTATCATTACTTTATTATGACTTAATATTATGTTGTTTACATTTCAGTGTTTGTGGTTTATTAATATCCAAGTATTTAATTAAATAATTAATGTTATATCTATAGACATTCAATTTTAATTCAGTATGTATACCAATAATACCTATAGGTACTAATTATAATTAGTATCCTACCCACAGACGTACCTATTAAAGTTATGAAGTGAAAACTGAAAAGGTAGGCATCTAGATAAAAAAATGATAGGTAGGTAGGTGCACAAGGACGCTCTAGGTTAAATTTTCAGGTCCTACAATTTTTTTGTAAGTAGACGTGAATAATTTCTATAAAAGCAAAGTGTAATAGGGTAGATGTCTACTTTTTATTCTAATGTCCGACTGGTAGATTATTTAAAAACATAAAACACGAATTTTTATTTTTTTTTACGGAAACGAATAGCTTCGAAAATATATTGATTTTAAATGTCGCGTGACGTCACTTCTATGTACATTTTATACGTAGAAATGACGTTTTAGCCCCCACTCCTAAACTTTGATTCGTCACAGTCGTTATTCGTATATCTAAGTATCATTTTATTATACAACAAAATGAAAAAGTACGTGTCTAATTATTTTCATTACCTAACTGACGGACTAATTACATTTTTAATTTTCATACCCTGCCATCATTCCTATTATTTTTGACGACAATTTTATCTGTTTTTGATTGATTGTTATTTTGTAAGTTTGAATAATTTGTTATTCTTTTGTTTTAGCATGGCTTGATTAGCAGGCTAGGAGCGTAGCGCGTGCGTAGGTACCTTCTCAATTCTTATTTTTTAATCTTTCTCTATTCAATCAATAGCAATACAGGTAATCTTTAGGTACTTACTATTTTGTTAAATAATAGGTACTCGAACCACAATACATAATGAATTAACGATACTACTAGTGCTTCAGTGGGTGTGTCAAGAAGTTTGGGGAATAACATTATAACGTTATCGTTATTAATTTGTGATTCTAATAATACCACGTTGATAACAAAAGTGTAACACACTCGTAGAAATCGATAGATATGATTCGAAAAACAAACAAACTATTTTTGGCAATATCTATTAAGGAAAATCGGTCTTCACCATAAAAATAAAAATCGTTAGAATTGTAGTGTGTAAAAATCCTAATTGAAAAACTTAACAGACGCTCGCTTTTTTATATTGACTTTATTATGAAATATTTCATACCACATACCTACGATTTAAAGTTCATATTTAATTGACGATGACATTGCTGGGTTGGAACCCTGCTTATTAGGTGTTTAGATTATGATTTCTTTAATATATCTGTGATGTTTATACTGATTTTAACATAAACCAATTTTGATTTATTTTAAAATCAAGTATTCTAAAATTTACATAATGTTACATAAAATTACTTATTATATAATAATCATCGTTTATTTAAGACATCAAAGTTCCACTAACAAAGTGTAACAGTAAAAAATTTCAAAAATACGAAACATTTTATCCAATATGTTAGTCAGCACATTAAACAGACACAATATAATACAGAAAACAAATACATACACAGAAAATACACACATGCAATATGTTAGTACTAAAACCGGCATACTACTATACTACATTTTTTTTTTTTTTTTTTAAGGGGGGAAAATCATCGAATGACTGCTCCCGCCTGGGTGAGGCGGAAGGGAGTGTCAGACTCTTACTCTTACTGACTAAAAACCACCCCGTTCCTTCTCCTGCACATCGAGCCGGAGCCCCGGTTACCCGTTAGGTTCTCCGCGACTCCGAATCGGCATCGGCCCTATTGGGCCCCATCTGTGGTGGTCTGATGGCTCTTTGAGGCGCGCGCGGAACGCGACGCGCCGTACGCTCGGGTCTGTTTCTGGTCGGACGGGGAGCCACCCATGCTCGCCGTCCGCAGGCCCGCGCTTACGGTGGCCGGAGATCGTCCCGCGATCCCCGACGCCCGGTGTGTCCTTCGCGATGGCTGGGTTGCGAGGAGGCAGCGCTTCGCTGCCTCACGCGTCCCGCCTCCTCCTTAGCTAGCATGACTGCTTCGCAAAAGGAGGAGACGGCATCCCAATCCCCCTCGCTCCGCATCATGGCCTGCACTAGGCCCGGACGCGAGAGGTCGCCATCGCCGATCACTTCCCTGAGGACACGGCGGTGCTCAGCCCACGAAGGGCATTCTCCCACCGTGTGTTCCACCGTGTCCTCAGGGCGGTCCTCGCAGTGATGACACCCGGGCGTTTCCTCCCGCCCCATCAGACACAGGTACCTCCCGAAACTTCCATGTCCGGTGAGGACCTGCGTCAGGCGGTAGGTGAGGACGCCGTAGCGTCTCTCAAGCCACTCCTCAAAGAGGGGACTTACCGCTGCGATGGCAGCGAGCCCAGCCCTCGGTTGCGACAGTCGTTGCTGCCATTCCGCCATGAGATCGCGCCGGAGCTCATCCCGCCACGCACTTATCTGGCGCGGCAGCGGAGTTTCGCCCCGGCGACGTGCCTCCGCGCGCATGTTATACACGCGTGCGAGCACCTTCGCCTCCAGATCCCACGGCGGTAATCCGGCAAGGAGGTTCGCCGACTCCCCGGAGATCGTGCGGTATCCGCGGATTATTCGGATCGCCATGACCCTCTGTGACATGAGCAGCGTCCGAGCAGGACGCCGCAACAAGTTCGGCGCCCAAACAGGGGCGCCGTAGAGGGCACTACTATACTACATAGGACTGTCGCGGAGAACCTAACGGGTAACCGGGGCTCCGGCTCGACGTGCAGGAGAAGGAACGGGGTGGTTTTTAGTCAGTAAGAGTCTGACACTCCCTTCTGCCTCACCCAGGCGGGAGCAGTCATTCGATGATTTTCCCCCCTTAGACAAAAAAAAAAATACTACATAGGACTGCCTCGTTGCGTTGGCCGAGTGGTCGCAATTGCGACTGCCGGGCAAGGGGTCTCAGGTTCAATTCCCGGGTCGGGCAAAGTAAGATTTTTCAAAAATCTCAGTATCAGCACGGAGACGGAGTGCCCGGTATATGGCTCACCCCCTATTACATGGGACTCATAACATAAATAGTGAAAAGTGGGTGTTATATTGTACAGTGGCATTAAGTACCGTAAACCCTTTCGGGGATAAAAGGCGTGATGTTATATTATGTTATGTTAAAACAGGCATAGCTACTAAAGCCTGAAGAAAAAGGGGATTTAATTGGTTCACAAAATGTACGTCACCGGTACAGAACAAAGAACGAGTTTTTTCATTCTTGCACGTAACTACATATATATAAACGTGGCGTGCATAGTAAATACATAGGTATTATACATAGGTGGGTCGCACGCGCCGAGGAATCCCCTTTCTGCAAAGCGAGTTATCGAGTCATCGAGTCATTCACACAAGATAACCATTAGCAGTTTGCTAACTGTTAGATACTTTATACACTTGTACAATGTGTAGCTGCGACTTTTGTATAAATTTTTGAATTAAACGAAAAAAAACGGAAAGGTGTTATTTTATATCTGATTTTTTCCCCGTGGGTTAGTTGGAGGTTTGTAGGTTTTACCAGTTATATTTATTGGAATAAGGTAAAAATTTTAAAATGAATATGGGAAGTTACAAATAGCGAGTCTAATACGAATCGTCGTTTGTCGCACAACAATGTGTTTTTCAAATTTATAAAAAAATACTTAAATATAAAAAGTGTCCTTCATTTATTTAAATGAAAACCCAACCACTTCAACAATATTGTTGGTTCCATATAACTGAGGTAACCTATTGTATTGTCGTGCATTGGGCAGCTTGGCTATTCGAACTTTCGAAATAATCGATCTCGAGATCGAAGAGAAAGGATCGCATTCTCGCCCGTCATTGGTCGAGATTATTCTCACAATCAATGACATGGCGGACCGCAATCGAGTTCACATCGATCTTTCGACTTGGAAGTATCAGAATAGTGCAGTTGATTAAATGTAATTGAATAAAAATATCATAAAACCTATTTTCCAACAACCTAATTAAATGATCTAGAGTAGAGAACACATTTGCTAAACCTACAGTCTATTCACTAATAAAAACTACCAATCAATAAAAAGTGTACATACTCCTTAACAAATACAAAAACAAGATAAAATACAAATATATAAAATACGTAGGTATATAAACTGGTTTTTTGTTAAAAGTAATTAGTTTGATTTCGCCAAACATATTGTGTGCTCGAATATTTTTGATTCGACAATAATTATTTTAATTGACAACATATTTTAAATAAAAAATGAAGCGATTCATTTGTTTTCTAGTGTTTGTTGCACTCTACGCTTGCTGTAATGCGAAATATTTCAAGACGCATTGCGATTTAGTTCATGAATTGAGAAAACAAAATTTTCCTGAAGACCAGATGAGGGATTGTAAGTATTGTTTTAACTATTGATATCACATTAAAAAAAAGTTATGCCTATTCTTCTTTCTGCCCTCATCCTATGCAACTTTTCCAATCTCCATTATAAGGCGTCTACCTATCACTAACTCCTTGCTGTTTAATAATGGTTTTTATTCTTCACACGGTCTATCCATTATTTCTTTGATAAACCTTTACTTCTGTTTCCGTCCACAGTAAACTTCAGCTCTCCTTTCAGTACATGTCATCATCTCACCTGAACCAGCTTTCACCTGAAACCACATTCTATCGATAAATGTATCATCTATCTTTATAGAGGTATATATAATTCTTCTGTGAGTATATACTGAACTTCTCTCAAACGACTGGACCGATTTTGAGGAAATTTTTTGTGTGTGTTCAAGGGGATCTGGGAATGGTTTAGATTCACAAATCAGCCCGACAGATGGCGCTGCAGTCGATATTTAGGTTATTTTATTCTAAACAGCTGAACTAATTTGAATGAATCTTTGTTTATACATTCAAGTGGATATGCAGGACAACGTCTGTCGGGTCCGCTAGTATATGTATAAAAATGAAACCCGTTTCCCGATGTCATGCCATAACTTGAGAACGGCTAGACCGATTTGGCTGATTTTTTTTCGTTGTGTTTGTTATCGTCAGGAGAAGGTTCTTATGACAGAAAAAAGTTCTGAAAATCCTACTGGAATGAGAGAAACGGGATTGCGTGTCTGAAGTCGCGGGCAGAAGCTAGTTAGAAATAGTTATATTAAATTACTGAAGCAACACATCTCTAATTTTCTTCATTTCCTTTTTCCAGGGGTATGTCTGGTAGATAGTGAAAGTGCTCGCCACACTGACGTCATAGGTAAACCAAACAAGAACGGTTCCAGGGACTATGGACTGTTCCAGATTAACGACAATTTCTGGTGCAGTAATAGCACTATACCTGGAAAAGGATGCCGTGTTACCTGTGCAGGTAAGTTGAAAACGGCACTATGACTGCACGTTTGGCGCGGTTGGTGGGCAACTGACTGCCGCGTAACGTGTCACGTCTCCGATTCCCGCACGGAGCAACACTGTGTGATCCACAGATTGTTGTTCCGGGTCTGGGTGTCATGTGTATGTGAACTTATGTTTGTACATGCATCCACGTCACACTATGAAATCCTAGTGTGGGGCAATGTTTAAAAATATACTTAAATATTATTCAGGTCATTTTCAATGTCACAGTCAATTTCTATTTCATAGAATTTCACTGTAGTGTTATGATGCTGTCGCGGAGAACCTAACGGGTAACCGGGGCTCCGGCTCGACGTGCAGGAGAAGGAACGGGGTGGTTTTTATTCAGTACTAGCGACCCGCCCCGGCTTCGTACGGGTGCAATATGCATGTATTATACATATAAACCTTCCTTAAGAATCACTCTTGCCCGAATACTGAAACGTTTGTTAAATATTTAACGGCTGCTTAAATCATTGAGCAGCCCTCAAATTCTAGTTTGGTATACTCAAACGTCTGTTATCTTTTTAAAGGTCTGTTAAATTTAAGTCGTGCTCAAAAGTCCACTTAAATGAAAAAACCGTATACTGAAACGATACTTATTTTAAGTATGTGTCAATATATTGTCAAAAGTCCACTCAAATGTAAGAGTGGTCTGAAGGCCTCCTAAATGCTTTGAGCGTGGTAGAAATTATAATTTACGTATAAAGTCGTGTGTTTAAAATGTCTCTATCAACGCTATTTTCTCTTTTGGCTGATGTAAGTCATCCAACACGACACAATGAACTGAAATTGAACGCATTTGAACAACTATCAAATGGGAATATTTATATATATTTTATTCCGCTGAAGAACTGAATGAACGAAGCACGGAGTATCCTCAGGAGTTGTTGACTCGGCGGCTCCCGCGGCCGCGGTCGAGCAAAAAATATATCGAGTTTGGTTAGAGTGGTTTATTGCGTATCGTGTGTGTTTTGTGTCGCATCTCTGCTGCATGAGCGCATATCTGCGCGCGGGAGGTCGGTGTTGCATACTACATGCATCATACATGCCATTATTTGAACAATAATTATAGTGATGTGGAATTTCGTGTAAACTTCTGTAATTCCAAAGAAAGAGTTTAGTGCTTGAACTCGGTATTAGAGGACGATGTTCAGAGTCTCTCTGAAGTATGGGATCCGTAACGAGGTAATCCGATAGAAAACTGAAGTTATCATCGTAGCACAAAGGATTATCAAGCTGAAATGGCAGTAATGATCATTTGGGGTAGACGTGTACTGAAGTGGAGAACGCGTCTAGACAGACGTACATAGTGTGGGGCGGTGGAGAGAATTTAACTACTAATAGAAAAATACAGTATCAGTTGTTTCAACTGCCTGCCTGAATTAAATAAATGATAATAATGCTGCGATTGGATGCCTAGAGTTAAAAATTGACCTCAGTGGCGTGCCATTACCTCTAGAGAGGCACAGGATATCCAGCAGTGGACGAGAACAGACTGATGATGAAGATTGCACAACCCATAGGTCTGGATAGCAATCAAAACTTTGTATACCTATTTGTATTAGGACTATGCTAATAAATGGACATTTTCAATCATAGTAAAATAGTTTTATTATTATAACTATAACAGTATAGGCGGCGACGGGGTATGCTGCCATGTTCTGGACAGCTACATCATGATTATAGTGCTGACACATAGAATCCCAAGCATCTTTCTTTTTTTTTCATATGGGCGTTGGTCTCTTTATTCTCTGTAATATCATTATGCCTGCAAAAATAGCAAGAAGCATATAAATTAACAATAGATCAGATCAGTTCTATGTACCTATACGTATTAAGTTTCATTACATACTTACTTCTTGATCAGCCCTAAAAGGATATCCTTTTCGGTAGTCGTATATAATTGGACCCACGATTCTTTTTTTCTTCCATAATAACATTAAAATTGTAGTATGCTATCTGAAGCCGGAGAAAATTCGTGTTTCATTAAATGCCAATAACGTCTGTATGTCAATTGACTTACAACGTTTCACTACACGACAATCTAGTCGTAATTATTTATTTTTCATTTTAATATTATAATTGTGTGTAGATACTTAAATTGTTATTTTTATTATGATATTATATGTTAATAAAATTAGTAATAGAATATAATAAAATTCATTACAGTGAAATTTATAAAATTTTGGTATATTTTAGTACATAAATTATCATCGAATTAGCTATTTAATCAAATCATGCTGCATGAAACGAATACGTAAAAAAACACAATTTATTTTGTAATCGAGAATATGCTTAGGAAATGCATATTATAGAATGTTGCCATAAAGCAAACATTTAACGGCTGCTTACCTGAGTAGACCAGAAATAAATTGATGGACGTTTCAGTATACCAGTTATATTTGAGGCATGCTCAAATTTAAGTTGCGATTAATTGAGAGCTGTATTTGACAGACGTGACAGACGTTCGAGTGTCAAACGCTTAGAAGTATCTCGTGCATATAATTTGCTTTGAAAAATTATAAATTAGTGTGAAATGTGTTTATCGTCGTTATCCTCTCTTTCCGATAATGAAAGTCGTCCAATACCGACCCAATGGAGTAAAATTAAATGCATTCGAACTATATGATGGTGTGGAATTCCGTGCACGCTTTCGTGTTTCCAAAGAGACAGTTTGAATTCAGCATTTGGAAGCAGCATCAAACCTTTCACATGTGAAACCGAGCGCTGCAGCCAATAGACCAAATCCTGATAGCTAAAGATTTTAGGCGACAAGCAGTTACCAACGGAGCGTAATAGGAGACATTTTTCATGTAGAACAACCAACTGTTCACCGGGTTGTGCACAAGGTAACGGCCAAAATTGCGAGCATGAAATCTTTATTCATTAATATGCCAACTTCTGAAGAATTTGTGGACATTGCAAACGGATTTTATGCAATTGCAGGATTTCCCACAGTAAGTGAGGCTGTTGACTGGACCAGACCTGTTGCACCCATATTAATTAAAAGCCAAATAGCAACAAGAAATCCAGTAGAGAGTGGAAGTAATTTTGAAGGGTTTCGATAACATTGTCAAAGAAAATTGTAAATTTTGGGAATTTGTTTTTGTATTTACACATTTTTAGGAGGAGGATTAGGAGTTAGTTTTAATTTATTTGAAGGTCTCTTTTTATTTTTTAATTTTATTTTTAGTATAGTTTCTATAGATATTTGTGACTTATGTAAGCTATTAAAAATGAATAAATTGTAAAAATAAAGAATTGAAAAACAAATCATAATAAAATAGTTTTATTATTACAACTCTTTTTATACACAACGTTGCTCCACACTAGGACTTTTTACCGTGTCGTGGGTGCGTTTACAAACATACAATTACACATACACATGACACCCAGACCCACAAAAAGTGTTTGAAAGGTTCCCCTCGGTTTCCATGGATTCCATCATCAGATCCTGACCTGGTAGAAATAAGACCAACCTGAGAGTATGACCTTACTAACAAAAAAAGGATCATCAAAATCTGTCCACAAACGCCGAGTAATCGGGTAAAAAGCACACAAAAAAATCATACAACCGAATTGATAACCTCCTCCTTTTAGGGAAGTCAGTTTAAAATGAAGTCGGTCATTATTTTTTAAACTAGCTGTTCCTCGCGACTTCGTCTCAAACTATCGTTGCGTCGTTGTACCGAATTCCACTCAAATAATTTCAATGGTTTAAAAAATAGAGTGACCCAGAAGATTAACGCAGTTCCTGTCCTGTGGGATTTCCGGGATAGAACAAGCATACGTTCTTTCCAGTGCCAATGTCTCACTCTCGTTGAACCGAATTACAATCAAATAGGTTAATAATATTAGTATTCAGCCTCTTTGCATACCTTAATGTTATATCGTGGCAATAAAAAAATAAAAAAAATAAATTGTCAATCATCCATTGCCATGAAACTTACTTGTCAAAAATATGTCAGATAATATAGAAATGTGTACTTAATATTATAAATTTGTGTCTGTTTGTTTGTTAGAAATTGGCGTGATTTTTTTATTGAGTGTAGATAACAGGGGGTCGAGGTTTGTGTGGAGAATTTCATAATTTTCAAGAAACCTAAAATGGTATTACATTTGTGACCAGTAAAACATCGGGCACCAAATATATTTTATCTTTTATAATCCTGCTCTCAATACTTTAAAAGAGCGCAAGCGAAACCACGGGCAGAAGCTAGTCCATAAATAAATTAATGTATTTAGTTAATTCAATTTATACTTTTTCCTTAAAATTCTTGATTCAGATGCAGCTAAATACTATTATTAGTCCTTGAAAACAGTTTTTATTGGTAGTCAAAGGCTTAAGCAATATTCTTCCGAATCCTTTTTTAAGATTTTAATTGTGCCGTGTTCTAATGCTGCTTACTGCTACAGCATTATATTGCTGGCACACAGCATCCCAAGCATCTCTGTTTTTTCGTATTATATGGGCGCTGGTCGTTTTGTTTTCAATAATATCTGCAAATATAGCAATAAGCCATCAGCAATAGATCAGATTACCGTTATATTATATAAGTATTAAGTTTCATTGTATACTTACTTCTTGATCAGCTCTAAAAGAATATATTTTTCGGCGGTCGTATAATTGAATCCACATTTCAGTTTTTTCTTCCATAGTTATCAAATAAAATTAAAATTTTAGTAACGCATATAATTGAAATATCGCGCTTTGATTCGTTGTTGTCAATAATGTCAATTGACTTAAACGTTTCACTACACGACAATCTAGTCGTATAATGTTCCATTTTCATATTATAATTGTGTGTAGGTAGGTACTTAAAAATATTTTTGTTATGATATACATTAAAAAAAATGAACAAGACTGTGAATTCATAAAATTTTAGTACATACATTATCATCGGATTTAGCTATTTCATCAAATCATGCTGCGTTAAACGAATACGTAATGTAAAAAAATTATTTTGTAATCGAGAACATGCTTTTTGTACAGAATGTTGCCATAGAGCAAACATTTAACGGCTGCTTACCTAAGTACACCTTAATACAAATTGATGGACGTTTCAGTACATACCAGTTATATTTGAGGCGTGCTTAAATTTGAGTAGCGATTAACTGAGGGCTATATTTAACAAAGATTTCAGTATTCGGGCATCTATCTATTAAAAAAAACCGCATCAAAATCCGTTGCGTAGTTTTAAAGATCTAAGCATACATACGGACATACAGCGAAAGCGACTTTGTTTTATACTATGTATTGAAGAGTCTGACACTCCCTCCCACCTCACCCAGGCGGGAGCAGTCATTCGATGATTTTCCCCCCTTAAAAAAAAAAGTGTTATGATGCTGATATATTACCATCAGGTCGCCTGATGGCTCGTTTGTTCATAAAGTAGTTTGTCTTATAAGACATCTATAGATTAACCTAGAACCTACCTACTTATTGGAACATTGGTTTAGGAATTTTTAGAAATTAGCTTTTTACAGTGAAATATGTTTAATCCACTAACTTTATTCTGTATCCTAATTAATCTAGGAAGATTATTATTCCTTATGATTAAAATAGTATATCGGGTTATAACAGTCCGACAGCCCAGTGAAAACAAACAATTATTTTGAATAATTCAGTGCTAAAACCAATTACTTTCAATACTACCTACTTATAGTATATTAAAAATCATTCCCATTTTCTTTTCAGATTTGATTACGGACGACATTACAAAGGCGTCAATTTGCGCGCATAAAATCTTCAGGCGCCAAGGATTTCCTGCTTGGCATGGCTGGACGAAACGCTGCCAAGGAGACTTGCCTGATATTAGTGACTGCTAGCTTTAAAATAAATGAGTCTTTAGTAAATAGAAAAATAATAATATGTTGACAATACTATTTCGAATTAGGACACAGCATTGATTGACTAATTAATTAATATTTGTTGTCTTGTTTAGTTACATTTTGCAGGCACCTAAGTTTAGTTTAAGTAGTACATAAAACTACCTCAATGACTATAATAGGGATGATGACAGGATAAGAAAATTAAAAATCGAATTAGTCCGTCAGATAATGAAAAAATATTAAACACGTATTTTTTTATTTAGTCATATAAGAAAACAATACACATAACATAAC